TGCTACGCAGACGGAACCAGGCATCAGCTTGTACGGCGCTTCGAAAGCGGCAATCAGTACCTTAAGCACAGCCACAGCGACCGAGTATGGACCTAAAGGGATTCGGGTCAATGCTATTGCGACAGGGTTGACACTCACGAGGCGTCTCCTGAGTGTCGCGAAAGAATATGTTGAACCCGGAATCCAAGCCACAGCCCTCAAGAGAGGAGCTAAGCCTATGGAACAAGCGCACACTATTGTGTTCTTGCTAAGCGATGAGGCAAGCAATATCACAGGAACTGTAGTTAGATGCGATGGAGGTGCACTTGCCCTCCAGTATTAGTAGAAGAAAGCTGCGGCGTGGAGACTCTTGCAGAATAAGTAAAAGAGCGTCCTGGCCAGGAGAATCAAGCCAAGTTGTTATTTGGCCTAACCAACCAGTTGTAAGCGCCTCGATGATAGAATCCAGGTTTCGTTTAGAGACTGCTGGAAGCTTCTGGGCTCTTTGTTAATTGTGGCGCAGATTTTACAACGAGCTAGACATCTCAATGACACTGTGAAATGTTTCTGCTGTTGGGGAGGGCAGGGTACCGACAAAAATCCACACAGGGGAGAGCAATGCCTTAATAAAGTATCGGCCTATCCGCTGCCGGATTCGTTTGCGGTCTTGGGTTCTTCATCGAAATGGTAAGTTAGCTACTCATCGACTAAGCATAGACGAAGTGCAGATTAACAAGGTCAATCTCATAGTTGAGCAATTCCTCGTACGATCACCATGGAGGTGGAATCATCTTCTTCATCAACATAACAGAACCCTTCGACAACATCTTCACCTTCCTCCTCGCAGAAGCGTTCACTCGATTCGTGAATCAAAATTCAGCAGATTATCTTCACAGAAATTCACAAAACTTCAAACCTGCTCATCGGACCTCATTATTCTCAATGTGCTGGTCGTGAACCACCTTTCGTTCATCCTCAAGATCAACATCCGACGAGACCTCAATAGGGGCATCGACCTTGCCGTTGAACTCCGTGCGAGGGTTGCGCATGAAGGAAGTCACTGTATCGTAAGTCATTATAAAAACTCTTTGGGGTTGAATGATGTAAACTTACATATGATACCCAAAGCCATGAAAGCTGCTCCACAGATGAAGACATTTCTGAAGCTAACAACGTATGCTTGCTTGATGGCCAAACCAGCGGCTGATATGATCTCAGGGGAGACACCTGGTACCTTCTCCAGCAAGGCCGCATTGCCCGAGCTCAACGCACCAATAAGTGGTCCAATGCTTGTCTTTGGTAAACCAAGTGGAACGACTGCGTTGGTAACCTTTGGAGCAAGGTTGGCAGAGAGGCCACTTGCAAAGATAGCATTGATAATTGCTAATCCAACCGAGCCTCCCAGACTACGGATGCCGGTGCAGATACCAGAGGCAGTGGCGATTAGCTCCGCTGGAGTTGCAAACTGTGCAGCGGTGAAGAATGTGACAAGAGCCAGGCCAAGGCCCATGCCATAGAAGAGGATATAGCCCCAATAGTGAGTTGAGGGGGTATTTTCGTTGACACTGGCCATTAGGCACATGAAGATCAGGAACAGGACAAAAGTTCCCACGCCAGTAACTCTGACCGATTTGGTTTTATAGATATAGAGACCTGATAAAAAACAAGCGAGACCAAAGGCGCAGAAACCGACCATTTGACATAGATATTGTCGATAGGTGCTCAGCTGATCCACTTGTAAGATTGCCAGAGCATAGGGGAAAAAGACAGCGGCTGTCATGTATCCCATGCCTTCGATAGCAGATGCGGTTGCTGAAATGGGAAAGTTGCGGTCTTGGAAGAGGTCGTGGTGAAACAGACCGTCTTTCTTGAATCTCGTGGCGTAAACAGCCAGAACGATGAGCAATACTGCACCAATAAGCAGAGGTACAAGGACATGAGCATCTTTCCAATCGTAAGGATTTTCCGCCCACAAAAGCCCTAGGCAGAGGAGAACGGTCCCAGATCCAAGTAGTATATATGCTGTCCAGTCAAGAGCGTGGACCTTGTCTTTGAAACTCAGAGACTGCAGCTCTCTGGGTGGCGGCCTGTAAAGCAAAACTACGAGTAGGACGGCGACAGCGTAGATGCCGGCACAGATGTAGAAGTAGATCCGAAAGCCATCTGGGCGTGACTGGACCAAGTAACCACCAATGGTGAGAGCGAATATTGATCCGAGAGCGTTCATGATGTTGGCAGAGGCTTGAGCCCAGGAACGAAACCTGCGTGGTAGTACCTCAGAGATGACTGCTAAAATGAGACCTTGCGCGCCGAAACCTATGCCTCCGACACAGAAGCCGGCGATATACATGCCCATTGAAGTTGCACGCGCAGTGATGATCGCTCCAAAGATACCACCAACATTGGGAATGACGAGGATCCATTTTCTCCCCCAGCTGAGCGGTCATGTCAGCATACATCAACAAGTCTGATGTTTCGAGATCTAACTCACTAGTCGGAAGCTTGAGAGAGTGGTGCAGCAAGGGCGACAGTGAAGATAATCACTGCCAATGACGGCCACGAGGTAAGCCCAGCTCCCCCAATCTGAGCAGCGACGTGCTGAGCAAAGGTTCCGCCTCCGACGAGGACGATCAGTTCGCAGAAGAACAAGCTCAGGACAGCCTATGTGAAAATCAGTAAATCAGCCATCGTCGGAATCAAACTTGTCACGGAAACTTACTCCGACGAGCGCGAAGGTCTTAACATGATTCCATCTAGTTACAGCGCCGTCTTCGATGGTGCCGAGGCCTGTAGATATGACTGATCGATTCTGGATTGCTGCCTCACTTTGACCCATTGTGTAGGCGTCTGGATAGAGTGGACTTCTGATGACAAAATTCGAGAGAACACAGGTGATCGGGGGAAATAAGCGGGCTATTTACGCTGTTAGCCTGCACGGTCGAAACTGCTGTGGAAAGGGCATGGGGAGATGCTTCGAAGAAAGCTGGGGCATCACAGCCGCGTCTGGTCTTGACGTCTGAAACCAGGTCAGTACACTCTCGCATGCAGAAGTGCGTCCGATGTGAAGAACACTACACAATTCGGAGCCGGAGTTCGGATTGACATTCGATGCCACCCTATGGCCAGGCCCTACCCCAGACTTTCGCTGGCTCCAGGATGTGGTCTCCATGTTTACCGTTCGAGCTGAAAATGTGGCTGCGGCTGAGGATGGGGTGCCCACATGGAGCAGAAGGACATGGTTAACATGACCATTGGGCGGCCCATGGCAAGAGATCGAGGCCAGCCTGCCAGCTTGAATCAGAGCAAAGGTAGGCCCGCGCGACGAACTTACATGCTGTCGCGTCGAGTTGCACCTATGGGGCTCTGAGGCCTGCCTAAGGCAAGAACCCGGAGAAGACATGATATGTTCGAAGGACCGCTTGAGCATCAACATATCGCACGACCCCTGGCGATAGCCATGAGTAGAATATCCATCCAAATATTACACCTACCCCTGAAGGAAATCCCGTCCCGAAGAGTTCTCCATGATTTCTCGTATTGTCGGCTCCTCTGGGGGTGACCTTTGAAGTTGAAGTTGTATCGTCCACGTAAGCAGCTAGGTAGGTTGTCAGGTCCAGCACCGGAATACTTGCACAGGGAAGACAACCTGCTCAGGTAGCAAAGGATCTGGCTAGTACAGACCGCATCCTCAGCTACGAAAAACTCCCAAGTCCTTTTCCGAGCGGCAAACTCACATAAAATGCCTTACATCGCAATGATCGCATATCCCGATATCCCGGGCACCAATTTCAACGAAAAATCCTACGTCGAAAATCATTTGCCAATGGTATTTCAACACTGGGCACAGTACGGCTTGCTGTACTGGCAAGTCGTCAGCTTCAGCAAAAGCTCCGATGGGTCAAGAACCTACATTGCTGCAGCTTCCATGACCTGGAATTCAGCTGGGAGCTTTAACAAAGCGACGGCGAGTGACAGCATGACCATGACGGTCGATGATCTCAAAAACTTCAGCAATATCCAGCCGATTTTCTTGAATGGGACAGTTATTGGGTCTGGATAACATGAATTCGAAGGGAGGGAAGTCGGCACCAGGATAATATCTTGGAATGATGTGTGCAGCACGGCTTCATTTGGCTTTCAGAGCGACATCAATGTACCTCGAGACAGCCTTGTGTTTACGAATGAGCTCCAACTTGAAGTGTCTCTTGATACGTGATGCGGCCTGAAACGACGTCACCTTTCAATTCGATCTCGCGTTTTATTAGACAAAGTCCAGAGCAGGGAGCCTACCCGGACTCTAGATTAGAAAGGCCAACCATAGGCGTTAGAGCTGGTCTCCACCAAGGTGAGCTAGGTCGAGGCAGCACGGCATCGCGCCAAGTGAGCATAGGGCGGCGTCACTTATGAAAGGAAAGTCCTCGACACTCTCTTTTTTGACAGGATCAACGACCGTGGAAGCAAAATTGACCGAAAAGCAGAGGTGGCTTAGACTGGGTCTTCAATCCTCCGGCCAAGTACCAATCTTAGTGGTCTGATATATCGGCGTGGCTTCAAGGACATGACAGCCTACACTGGGTATCAGGCAAGCTAGCTCTGGTAGGAGTATAATGATGAAGCAGCTACTTTACGAATCGCGCACGAAGGAGCTTCTCGAATCATGGGCTGGGAATAAGAAATTGCTGATGGCAAACTATTTCTTTTGGAGTTCCGGCAGCTCTCTTCAGAAATCCTTTTCAGGACTGTGGCGGTCTCTTCCTACAACTTAGTACGTACGGGTGGCCACAGTCGACGCTTCGAATCGCTCAACCTGGGTGGCGATCATCGATCTAGAACTGGAATATTTCCCAGCCTGGACCGAATCTGATTTGCTTATTACAATTCATACAGTCATTCAGGATACTGCTCAAGATTTACGAGTATGCCTCTTCGTTGGTGGCTTAGATGAGTGTGCTGAGCATGATACTCACCGAACCCAAATCCTGGAGCTCCTCAATGCCTTTTCGACCCTCCCTCATGTCAAAATGTGCGTTTCAAGCCGCCCATTGGAAATCTTCAAAATCAGGTTAGCGCAAAATTCTAATCTACGTCTTGAACTCCTGAACCACAATGACATTGAAAAGTATATCACCGCTGAGTTCCAGGCCGATGATAAATTCAAAGCATTAAGAGAAAACAGCCACGCGCTGTGTCTCAAACTTGTTACCGAGCCCCTCGACAAGGCTGAATGCGTTTTTCTCTGGGTAGTCCTTGTTGTTCGTCCCCTTCTACACGGGTTGGAGCATAAAGACACAATTGCAGACCTCCTGGACAGGCTAAGCCAATTTCCGAGCGGATTGGAGGCTTACTTCCGTCAGATGCTCTCCGGCATCGACGAGGTTTACCGCTCGAGAGCTCTCAAGCTTCTCAACAGTGCTCTGAACTCCGCGGACGGACTATCACTCATGACATGCTCCTTTTTGGACGAAGTAAACCCGAACTTTGCCCTCAATGTGCCCATGAAGGCTGTTTCCGCACATAGAATAGAGGAGCGACTAACTGAGACCGCCAGCCGTATTAGCTTGCGATGCTTAGGGTTGTTGGAAAACCAAAACACTTCGCGGCGATAGACACTTGATGTATCGAGACAGTGTCGACTTCTTACATCGGACGGCACGAGATTTCCTTTTGGACAATCCCGAAATTTACTGAGATAGAGTCTGTCGCTTCCTTCCACGTTCATCGCTTTGTATGTGAGGCAGTGGTGGCTCAGATGAAGATGACTGATGCGCCAACAAAGGTGCTTCTCCAAACCTTCATGTGGCACGCTCAAAAGCTAGAAGATAAGTCTTCCGAGTCATCCCTGCATCTATTCAACCACCTAGATGAGGTCTTGTACTCTCATCGTTGGAGTAATTGGCGGGGGACTCACCGGGAGACTATCACATTTATACCTGTGCCTGTGCTAATGAAGGCCCCCGGCCTCTTTTATCACTCGGAATTCTATATGGTTTTGATTTTTACGCTAAAACATGTCTACAGTCGCAGCCAGGTCTCGTATTTCTGATGCGGCACCGGCCGCTCCTAGAATATGTTTACGTAGAGGGATTCACTACCAGCCTGACATTGAGCTGGTTCGACTTATCCTCGGTCATGGCGGCAATCCCAACGAACGGTTTGATCGTTTCACTGTTTGGATACACTTTTTGGATTTTCTGCACAGCTCTAGCCGCGAAATTCGGTACCTTGACCAGGACAGCCAGCAAACTTGGATAGAGGTGACGGAGCTACTCATCCGACACGGGGCAGTCAGACGTTAGAAAATAAGGAGCCATAGACCGGACGTGGTTACACGGGCACGCAAATATATCAAATTTGTATTCGGCAGGGCGGAGGCCACGAGGCTGGACAATTTGTCTTTGCGGTTGACCATTAAAGGGCTGAAACTGTTGGCGGCTTCCACTCGCTACGCCCAATCTAGGTTTGGAGAAGGGAGAAAGGTTGAGCACACCGACAGACAGCTATTGATCTCAAGATCTAGCAAATGCCTATCGACAAGTGGATATAATGAAGACTCCGCTCCTGCTAAATGGTCTTGCCAAAGCCCTCATTGCGTAGATCATTTATACCACCGAACTGGCCTTCCCGAATACCGGCCCTATCTATGTCGGCCATGTGACACCTATAGATCACCGCTCTGACTGGTGGCAATGATGAACCGCTAATACATTCCGGCACCCCAGAAGCGGGTCTCTCTCCAAAGTCTCCGTCCACCTTCCCTCCTGGAGTAATCCTTCAACAAAATCCATACACTTGAGGCATTAATTACACGACCAGTTTACACGGAAGTTTTATAAATATGCATCCATCAATAGCTCTGTGATTGCAGAAAAGGATTACGTCACTACAGAGTTCAAAAGTAAGTAATCATAACTGAACCAGGGTGTTCTCAAAGTCGATAGGGGTTCTCGAGGACTAACAGAGGCGGCTGCTCCTGGTCATCCTTCCCACTACTTTACTTCCCGCCCATATCAGCCCGGATATTTTCCAACAATACGTCAATTCTTTTATCCGCGCTGTCCCATTGTTCTCGGACAATCTGCGCTCTCTCCGGAGATCTCACTTTGAACTCGACCTTGAAAGGCATCGGCTTGGAGTTCAATCCCTGCGTGAAGGCAAGCGGATCAACTTCACTCTTTCTCCAGACTTCCACTCTCTGACCTTTCTCGTCTATCTCCATCACGCTCTCGTATGCATGCGTGATGTCAAACGCCCAGAGGATTCTCACCATGTTGATAAAGAGGCTGTTACGTGCGAGATGCTGGCCAGTGCAGATCCACCTCTCAAAGCCGAACGGCACTAACGGGAGGGAAGGATCCTCGATCCACCGGTCAGGGATGAAGTCGTATGGGTCCTTGTAGACGCCTTCGTCAAGGTGGATTGACCAGTGGTTCCCAATGACGGCCGCGCCAGCCGGGATATGGTAGCCAAAATACTCGTCGTCCTGAATAACGGCATGTGGGATCCCGCCAGCACTCACCGGGTGCCAGCGTAAGACTTCTTTAATCATAGCGTCCAGATCAGGTAGGCAATCTTTGTCCTCAAAGCCAGGATATCGATTGCCAACTTGACTGTCGATTTCAGCCTGCGCCTTCTTCATTACATCGGGATATACCAGCATCGCCAGCGTAAAGATCTCGAGAGCCATGGATGTCGTATCGCTCCCAGCCTCGTAGATAATACCGACATCATATGCCAGTTCCTTCGTCGACATCTCCCGTCCCTCTTTCATCCCTTTGACGTGTTTTGACCAGTTCCACGATGCAGAATTGAGACCCTGGATCATGTTGTTTATAGAAAGAGTAGACTCCAGCTTATGAAGCCTATCACCGAGTCGCCTCCACGACGCAAGAAACTTGGGTAGGTAGTTCAGAACGGGTACCGCGTCATCCAGCCAGGTTCCGACGCGAGCGGCGTAGAGAAAGTTTTTCATCACCTCGTCGATCGCCTTGATTTCCAGCTCGTTGCCAGTAGGGAGACGTCGGCCGTAGACGGGAGTGAAGATAAGGCTAGAGGAGTATCGATGGTAGCGATCCACAAAGTCAACTCCTGGCCGGAGGAATTCGTACACAAGCTGTTTGCTCTCGAGGTCTTGGAGGCATCGGTAGCTCTGGGATATCCGAACGTTGGGGTATGAAGCTTGGAGACGTTGGTGATTTCGCCATTGTTGACCACACGGCATAAGAAGAGTTCGCAAGCCTCTGCTGAGACACTCTCCACCCATGACAGCTCTGGGGCGGGAACTATAGATGTGGCTTCGCTTGTTCAGCAGATCATGTGCCGCCTGGTAGGTGCCTAGCATGATAATTGTATTCATGCCATATTGAAGGCTGTACACAGGTCCGTACTTCTTGGTCCATTCTTGGTAGACGCACCACGGGTACACCTGGGGCGCTTGATGCAGATTGCCAATTATCGGAAGGCGGGGAGGCCCAGGGGAAGACGGCGTGACTTAGAAAACAGGAGAAGGCGTCCTAGCCAGAGGAAAAGTGCTATTGCGGACGCAAGCACGAGAACAGAATGGGCGGGCATCGTCGAAAAAGGCCAAGCATGGCCTTCAGTGACGAGGAAGGAAACGGATTTGAATCCGGGAGCTGATTGAGTGTACAGGCAAAAACAACGTTGAAGTCAACCCTCACTTGATATAATCATTCTCATATACAAGATGTTTATACATGCCCGTCCGAGCACAGCGTACATCCCCTGATCGGAACTCGGCGCCGGGATAGAAGTCGAGGCGGAGGTCGTAAGGTTCTTCCATTTGCACCTTTTGCAATGCTCGGCATAGACTTGAAATATGAGAGTTGACGATGTCTGTGGGACGTGGGGCCGAATACGTTGACATGTTAGCCATTCAGAGATCATTTGGGTTAACTGCCTCCAACTGGGAGCATTTGGCATCGGGCTCTTGGCTTTGAGAGCCGTCAAGGAAGGCATCAGTTGCGCCAGAATACATCGATGAGGGCGACAAAAGAAAAGAAACAGGCAATTAATTGGCTTGAACTGTTACCCCGACACCCCGGTCTATACCCCAGATATACGGGCAGATACCCCGCAAGTGGGTCTTTTACTGCCAAGAAGCCGAACTCCGATATGGTACGGGTCTATCTCCTTATTGCGGCAGTGGTGCCCTTAATATGACGTCAAGGGTCTTTGCGCATCCCAAGGGAATGAGAAAGCGCCGAGGACACGGAATGCGAATTTGACCTGGGATCGACCCATCTGTACGGTATCTTCAGCGACTAACGGAACGAGGAAGGCTGCAGAAACTTGAGCAAGCAGTCTTGCCATACTCTGCCACATGGCAAACAAAACAGACAAGCGAAACATGTACACAAGCTATACACGAAATACACTCAAAGTCATTATGAATGAGGGTCTTTATTCTCGAAGGCGGGACAAAGTCTAGTCTATCTCAAAAGCCCTCCGGTAACGAACGTGGCCCAATTTCGATTCTAGTCTTGATGCTCCTGTGATTCTATCCTGCCTTTAGTCGCTTGATCAGATCCTCAGGATCAAAATCGGTGCCAATAGTGTTCTCCTTGAACAGAGTCGATGTCATGAATGCATTCGCCTCCTCCACGGTGTCGAAGTTGTCAACTTGGGTTTCAACCCGATTGCCGTCGGGATCTCGATAGTAAATACTGGTTGTCAGGCCGTGGTTGGTGCACCAGCACGGTATCATACCCAATGCTTTGCGCTGCAAGTACGACTCGGTTAGGTCGCCGAGCGTCTCAAATGTGAAAGCAATGTGCTCGAGGCCCGCTGAGGCCTGTTCCTTGAGCCCCGTGCCAGGCACGTTGATGATGGCGATGCGATGGTGCTCGGCATCGAAGCGGAGGAAGGCTAACTGGTGGTCCTTGAAGCTTATATCGGTGCCCAGGAATGTGTGCCAGAATTGAGCCATAGCCTCGTAGTTGGACGTGCGCAGGACAACGAGGGCCAGAGAAATTGGTGATTTGACTTTGGTTTTCTGTCCCAGGTTCTGACCATTCCTGGTGACGTCGTTTGTGGTACCATTGAGGTGAGTCGCCATCGTGGTTCGATATCAGTAGTAGATGGGATGCTGGAAGTGAGCTTCGGATAGGTTTCGAGGTAAGTGTTGAGCAAACATGCTGGTGTCGGCAACCATGCAGAAATTAGGCTTTTTATGCCATTCAACGTCCTTGTTTTATGTCCCCAAGGTGTCAAAAATTGGCCCTCACTCCTTTGAGTGACGGAACAATGCCGTACTCATGATATCTCGTGTGAACTGCAGATTACGAGATTTATTCCCTGTCATGTCTGGGTTGAGGAAGGCAGCTCGGTGACAAGAAATCGAGTTCCCCAAATCCCGGAGGCGAGCGGAATTGGGGGGGTGGGACAAATCTTTCTACAAGTACAGGTAGGTAGAATCGAGACTTTTCATCAACGGGATATAGATGGAATAGGCATTTCTGTATCAAAAGGTATCCGAAAACATCAAGACATCCAATTGCTGATTTCCTTTGTTGGACTGCACATAGACAAAATTCAATGGCAATGACGTACTCGGTGGATACTATTTACCCTAACAGGTATTGCGTAGACGCCGAATCAGGTTAGTGAAATGTGGCTTGGCATTGTGTTACCCCTTTGGCACTCCCCTACACCCTCATGCAAATTTGTCTTCCTTCTTCCCCCTTGGATCAATCAATCAATCAACTGGCAGCTGTCTTGGTTCAAAAATTGGCTGCGAAAGCCCCAACAGCGCAGCAAACGAGGCCTCCAGCTCTTGACCATTCGCCTTCGACGAGCCACGTGATCTCCAAGCAATGAAATTATCGGGTCGCACCAAAATTTCACCGCCATCCTCGAGTTGCTTAACGCTCTTCCACTGGTCTGTTATGCCCCTCAGAGATCCACCAGTTCGAGCGGTCTGGATAGGAATCTTGTACCGAAGAACCAGCCGCTTTGCAGCTGCCGCCCATCCCAGCCCATTTTCATCAGTCAGAAGCAAAACTGACCCTTTAGGTCCTACCAGATCGTGCGTCGAGATGACTCGGCCGTCCGAAACCAACCACGCATGAGGGAGACGGTGCCTGGGTCGAGTTATCGGGAAGATTTTCTGGCCGAGAGGATCTACCTCCGGAGTTTTGGTGTCGTCTGCGATTATGAGACCATCCTCGTATGTGAACCCAAGCTCGATCCCATGTGCTCAAATTCGATGCTTTGCGATTCAATCATCTTCTTGACCTGTGCTTGGATACTACGCCCTGTCAAAGAGTCTTCAAACATTGCCTCGAATCTGGACTTGTTGTTCTCCTTATGTCCGGCAACTATGCCAATAGCGGCATAAATTACAGCGGAGTTCTCGAAGGTGAACAGACCCCAGTCGGCGTTTCTTTTGCCTACTGGTCGTCGTTCCAGCCCATAAGTATCCAGGGTCTTGGTGTCGACGTTGTGCTTAAGGACCATTGCCAACTTCCAAGATAGATTGAATGCGTCTTCTATCGCCGTACTCAGGCCCAGCCCGATGGTTGGAGGACGTCGGTGAGCAGCATCACCAGCAATGAAAACGTTGCCAACGCGGTACTTGTCCGCCACCACCTTTTCGATAATCCAATGACTTATTCTGTGAACTTTAATCTCTAGATCTGGAATCTTGAGGAGATCGCGGATTCGAGGTATCAGTTTGTCCTCTTGGTGCCTGGATTCGTCGTCCAATGCGAAACCAAAATGCATGACCCATTCTTCAGGTTGACTGCCCCAGGTCGGACCCATGGGGACTACGGCTCCGCTCTCAAAGATTGTTCCGCATTCGCCGTTTATGAAATGGCAGGCGAAAAATGTTTCGTCCCAGTACTGGGAGAGGTCTGCTTCGAAGTGCACAGAGGCCATATGTGTGATTCCAGTACGACCTTCCATCGTGACACCGATCTTATGCCCAACGGTGCGTCCACCGTCTGCACCAATGAGATATTGCGTTCGATAAGTTGAGAGGGTTCCCGCTGTGTCTTGGACAGTAACCTCGACGCGCTCACCAGTATCTTGAAAATCGACGACTGTACACCCGAAACAGATGCGTCCAGGATTCCTTTCTTCCGCCATTCGCCGTAAGATAGGTTCCATTCTGCAAAGCGGAAGATTGGCCGATCCTTCTGGGCCGTCTCTTTTGTATGCCTGTGACTTGAAACCGCCATCATCGCCACCAAAGCATGGGAATTGGTGAATGACTTTTCTGTCCAGGTGCCCATTGCCCCCGAGTGAAGTGGCCCATGCAACCTGACTCATTCGACTGGGAGGACAGCTCTTTTTCTGGATTTCTCTGTGCATGTCATGCAGCCTAAACGTCTCCATAGTCCTCTGATTGAGGTAGTGTGCCTTTGGAAGAGCTGAGGCCACGCTCTTGCGGTCGAACAAAATGTGATCGACTCCATAGTCAGAGAGGAACAACGACATGGACAAACCACATCCTCCACCTCCAATAATGATGACGGGGAAATCCAGGTCTCGAGCCATTCCGCGTTGTGTCGAACGAACCGTAACTTTTGCCGAGTGAAGAATACCCTACAAAATGAGCATCCAACCCGGCCCTTTAACACCACCTCTACTACACATCTGCCCACAAGCCTCTTTTCGGAGCTTCGGCAAAGACGATAGTTTCTCCGTCGACGAAAGACATGTCAATGCCTGACAACCAAACTCGCACCCCACAGCCAAGAACCCGAGTTGTCTGAAAGTTATGGAGCCGCTTTCACAGAATCCCGAAACAGGAATTGCTCCCGCGGCAACGGCCTGTTTAGGAAAGGGAGCAATCAAATGAAGGTCCCGCTTGGGTTCAAGTGACAAAAGATAGGCATCATTTAACGAAACCCTTGAGACAATCGAGTTGCGAGGTGTCTGTAAAGAAAGTCTACCATATCAGACAACACTCATGAACGTGACAGTATTTTCTGTTGCCAGCAAGCTGGTTCTTGTCTCCTTCACAGTACTTTTACTCGTACTTGCTCGCTACTCCGCTGCCAGTCGTCGACCTCGAGGCTTTCCGCCTGGGCCGCCAACACTGCCAATAATCGGGAATCTTCACCAGTTTCCTCTCAAAAAGCCTTTCATCAGGTGAGTCAATCCAGGTCAGTGGCAAATCAGTTGTTTAGTGGTCCAGATTTCTTGAATGGAGCAAACAGTACGGCGCTGTGGTCGGCCTCAATCTAGATCCTCAAAACGTCATCGTGCTGAACAACTACGGGAGTGTGAAAGAGTAAGTTGGAGTTCTATTAGATCAAATTTCTCCTAACTCATTACAGACTCTTTGACAAACGTGGAGCTATCTATTCGAGCCGTCCTGATAGCTATGTTAGCAATGAACTTCTTTGCCGCAATGAAACACACATTCTGCTCGTCCCATACGGCCAAAGCTGGAGGGCTCTTCGGAAGGCAGTTCAGGCTTTGTTGAATGTGACTGCTGTGGACGGACCCTTGCCCGTCCAAGAAGCGAAAGCATCACAGACGGTATATGAACTTATGACAAGTCCGGAAAAGTGCTTCACGCATATTCGCCGGTATTCAGCAGCTGTCATTCTTGCATCCGTGTTCGGCCAGAGAAGCGCTAGCTACGAGGCACCAAAAGTCCAAGCCCTCTATCATGCTCAGGAGCAATTCACCGAAATACTAGCTCCAGGAGCCACACCCCCCATGGATCCCTTCCCGTTCTTGAGATATATGCCTACATTCTTAGCCCCTTACAAGCGCTGGGCAGCAAATATTCGGCAAGAGCAACGGACACTATATTCCGGCCTGCTCAACGAGACCAAGGCAAGAACCCGGAAACAAGATAAGATCCCTTGTTTCATGGACAAACTCTTGGAGGGAAAGGAGAAAAGTGGCCTTGATGACGAACAGATTGTGTACACTGGGGAATTCTGGTATGGCTCTCTATGGCTAGCTTTCCTTACGGCAAGATCTGATTTCGGTTTTAAGATGGAAGCAGGTTCTGATTCGACATCCTCGACTCTGCACTCGTTTGTCCTTGCCATGGTCAAATATCCTGAAGTCTTGCGAAAGGCACAGAAAGAATTAGATGAGGTCTGCGGACCCTCAAAGTCACCTGGTTCCCAGGATGTTAAGAACCTTCCCCTACATACAAGCAGTCATGACAGAGGTGAGAGGTCAGATACCGTATGAAAACTTAAACGCTTCACAATAGAGACTGACTGATCTCCTCCAGACGTTGAGATGGCGACCAGTAGCACCAGGTGGCGTCCCTCATATGCTGATTCAAGATGACATCTACGAGGGCTACTTCCTTCGCAAAGGCACCATTGTGTTTGCTAACACCTGGTCCATTCACCAAGACACGTCAGAATACAACAGACCAGAGGAATTCATACCAGAACGGTTCCTCAACGACAAATTCGGCAGCAAGGGCAATAACCAAAGTTCCCATGACGATGAAAGTAATAGAAGAGTAACTTACAGCTTCGGGGCCAGAAGGCGAGTCTGTTCTGGTCAACGCCTTGCGGAGAATTCTCTGGTGAATTAGCCTGGGTTGTGTTCCAATGGATCCCAGATCGAAATCGCTGGGCCTCTCACGTACTGACGAAAATTCTGTAGATGATCAACATGTCCAAAATGGCCTGGGCCTTTGACATTAAAGCCGACCCGAGTGCACCGCCGCTGGGCTTGGACGTGGAAACGGGCCACTCAGGCGGCTTCGTGTTTGGACCCAATCCATTCTCGGCCTCGTTCTCTATTCGATCCCAGCAGCATCAGGAAACCATCTTGAGAGAATACGAGGAGGCAAAGATATTCTTCCAGAAATATGAAGATTAGGCAGGAAATAGGGAATTAGTGAAGGGTATGGTTACCCAGGAATTACCACTAAAATTGAGTTTCTATGGGGCAACAATTCGCTCTTCTTCGACTCGAGCTTATGGTCACTGTTGAGTCGATGTGGTCGACGTCCCAATCCACGCCTGATACTCCTTGATCCTTGGCCCCGTGCTGCCGGCACTCTGGTCTATCACCGCCCTCGCCGCAAACTCTGTGATGGTTGTCGCAGAACCGCTATCCTTCGTGCGTGTCTCAAGTGTGCCCGTGAGCACAAGGTCGGTGCCGTCTGCGGCCCCCGCGTAGACTTTGTCGACCGTGTGTTTGCGGAAGGTCACCACCTTCCACGCGTTCGCTCGGCTATTCGTGATTTCTAGAGAATCGAATTAGACACAATTAGACGGTGTAAGATAGAACCTGTGAGCAAGAGAACAAAAAGAAGAAAGAAAGAAAGAACGTCGGGTTGAATGTAGAGCGAGATTGTATACTGGCAACAGGTATTTTTCAACTCGACCATCTACTCTGACCAATTCCGATAGTGTGCTTCCCGGGATTGATTACCAAGTTCGCTGAAAGAACGTACCCTTCTTGCCGCGGAACACGCCATTCGCCGAGACAAACCGCGCATCAGGCGTGAAGATTTCCTCAGCCAGCAACGACCCGACATTGTCGTCCTTTTGGTCGACGAGGTGGAAGAGTCGCGCGAGGAGGGTTTTGACCGCTGGGCTGACCGGCGTGGGCGGCCACACGGTGGATGCTACAGCTGAATATGCCATTCTTGACGTTTTCTGCTCCGCGCAATTGTGTCACTATGTCGAGGCGGCGGCTTGGACTTTGACTGGTGTCCACCAGGAAAATAGAATGTGAAATACAGACACAAACAGGAACTACGATACCTCCTGAACAGGGAAGGCAAGTTGATGATATACTGACAAGACCAAACAAGGCAAGAATGGGAATCCCGAGGGCGAAACATCCGGGGCTCCGCATCACTAACCTGTCCCCGAAGATGCACGCAGGGACTGTCCCATTTGGCGGTAAGAGTTCGGGGAGTCTTAGCAAAGTCCTGGCGACGTTCGTGAAGGGGTTGCGGGGGCCTTCGGGGAGCAACAAGGCCAGCTCAAATGGAGGTTTGCACTTGCGAAAAGCTGACTACTGATTCGCCGGTTTACCCATCTAGCAGGGAGACTCCGACTGTTTGATTAAGTCACCTCGGCCTAATAGCCAATGGGGGAACATTCTCGGATATCTGGCCTGCTGATCCAGGAACTGATGGACAGAGTGGTGACGAATTGAACTCGCTGGCCGGCCCGAACGTTGCTAAGTCACCGAACCCCGAAGCCTGCTGGCAAATGTGCAAACCGATCCAGCAAAGGCATTTTTTGGAGGCGAAAACTTCAGGTCCTGATTGATTCGACATCTCAAGATAACCCTTGGGCTAATTTGCTGACCTTATTCCCTCTGCTATCAGAAACCGATCTCCCGATTCATCAGCGCATCGCCGGAAAATACAGAGAAAACGCTCCAATCATCGAGGTTGAAGTCTTGGCTGGCGCTGAAAATATGCTTTGGTGATGGTCAATACGTAGCCCAAAATGGTGTGCCGAACCCAGCCAACTACTTACCGAAAATGGGATGTCCGCGTCAGTTGCAAGACTGAAGCCGTCCTCCGCGCTCGTGATCGCGGGCACGTCGGTTTTTGAAGCCTTGTTGACCGTTTGTCGTGCGACCGAGGCCACGTCTCGAGCAAAAGGGAAGCTGAGCTCCTCAGCCGTGATGAATTCTATGTGTCCAAAGTATCCAGCTGCTACGTCGAGCAAGGCGACGTCCGATCGAGCAGAGGGCAGAGACGGGAATTTGAGAATGTGTATGAAAAGATTGATAAGTCTAATCATTTGGTAGTAGAATGTCGGCCTGGGTTGTTAGAAAAATACAGGCATCATTTGCAAGCAAGGGGGGATTGATTATACACACCATTGGATTTGATGCACCATTGATCTCCAGACCTCTTGCAATGATGATAATGTTCCTCGCAGCTTCGGCAACCGTGTTCGAGCTGAAAATCACTTGATCTTGCGTCACAATACCCCTGTCATTCCCAAAAATGGTGCTGTATACCCACGGGTAGGCAAAGATGGTATGGATTGCCATCAAGCTTCCGTAATAAGCGTAATGCATAAGGATTGTGGGGAAATACCTGGCGTCACCGGGGACCTGAAGAGACCTTAGGCGGTCATCAGGTCTCAATTTTGCCGGAAGAGAATCTCTCCATTCGCGCAGCTGATGATCCAGCTGAGCTACAGTTTCCAGCAGGGTGTTTGGTGGCTGTTGAAAGGCCTTCACAGACATAAGTCGCTTAGAAACCTGAGAGGATATTTGCGAATGTTGAATAAGATACATGAATGCTTCCACGTCAAGAGTGCTTCCTGGGCAGGATTCAGAGGGGATTTGACAGCTAATCTCGTCGTCGTCTATGGCCTGGGCAAGATATTCGTTAGCAAGTGAAGAGCCGTCAGTGGTCGAATAAATAATAGGTCAATCACTTACAGACGGTCGTCCAGAGCGATGAGCGATATGTTTCTCGCAGCAGTATATCGCCCAAACCAACCAACTATAGTGTAGTTCATCATGAGCAGCTAGATTCCAAGCTTTGGCTGGTCTTCGATGTAGTCCTTTCGCTTGAGCCACACGCGCTGCACTGGTACAGAACATGTACTCAAGGGCGGGATTGCCGAGCCCTTCAGAGAAAAAAGTCTGTCACATATTGTCAGATGATATTCATCACAAATAAATCGGATACATTTACCATTGCAACCAATGCGCGTACAGCAAGCAGGCCGGTAGGAGTGAAAAGTAGCTCGATGAGGACAGACGTGGCGCTCTGGAAATAACTCCAAGCTTCAGTTTTGATATCAGTGAAACTCATTGACGAATTTTTGGATAGGCAGATTCGACATCCTGAGGCATACACAGTTTTGCGCAGGGCGAACCAGGCGGCGTCATCCCCCGACCCAGGTCTCCACGGAAGTGGGCTCGAAGAGCGCTCTCAAGCTCGGGTCTATACACAATGCGGGGGGTCGAGCCGAACGAATCCTCGAAGTATGCTTGACGACGCCTTGTCAGTTTCCGTGATTGAAAAAGGTTCAGAGACACATCACTTGCCGTTACAATATTTCCACGCAGTTTCGGCGTCAGGCTCTCGGTGTTTTGTTCCCGTAATTTTGTTTCGATCCAGTGTCAAACGCCTTGTCCTTGTAGATATCAATTCTCTCGCGCTATTGTCAAAATCTGCAACCCCAGTTCTTTGTGAAACCCAATCTAGCCCTGGCCTGGAGCAGACTGATAGCCAGGAACCCGGGCCTGTGTCATGAAATCAGAGAGAGGCTTCTGTGTTTGAATTGAGTGGTTGATTACCATGATGTTCCCAGTTCACCTCGAGAGGGGTTAGTCCGGATACTGAAATAGTCCTACGGCTTATATGCTTACCATCTTGAGAGCAAGTATAGTGGCCTCCTTGTCCACATTTGCAGCGTCAGAATTCTCTTTGGGCCCAATATGCCCGCCTGAAAAGCTTTGCGTGGACTCTTGGACTATTTTCGCCGAATCCTAGATTGTTAAATTAGGCAGATCTTAATATGACGGAGCAACTTTTCCAGACACAAAAGACATTGATAGAGAGTTTCCGAGCAATGGGTTTTCCATGCTCATCGACCGAACATGCTGCGCCTCGTTCCACATCATTACTGACACCTGCAAGCTGTGGCAGCTGTGTCTGCGTCCCAAGAGTGCTTTGACAGCTGATACTGCTGGGATGAGGTGTATCAGACACCGACGGAGATAGCCTGTTCTGGTTCTGGATCATGGCCTCCATCCGGGCTATACGGTCCTCCAAAGAGGCTTCTAGAACTTTCTCATTCCTTCATCGCCCTCGCCGAGATTCGAGATAGACACATTGTGCTCGAGAAACCTGCATCGAATTTTAAGAATACGGACCCATCTGCTAGCGACTCGAGCAGACTACCTGGCACTTAGCACAAGGGCTTCCCCCATCGCCTACCATGGCTTTCAATTTGTGTCAGCCTCAAATGTCCCTGGCGGAAACACGACAAAAGAACTGGGCAAGCTTACATTTGACCTTCCCTGCACGACATTGGCCGCATGCGTTGGCCTTCTTTGGCAGCTCCCGCGGGCCTACCATCTGCAATCTCTTCTGTGTTCTAGCCTTCTGCTGGCTATTTTGGAGAAACTCCCACGGATAAACACGGAGAATGCGACGATGAATGCGACCTAAAGGTTCTGCATCAAAGAAATTGCGCCGTTCTTCCATTTTGCGGGGTAACGTGGATCACCTTGATCACAAACCCCGAGTGGGTGCTCAGGCATCACCCAGGAAGGAGCAGTTGAGCCGAAGGCGAGCGAAGTGGCAAGCGGATAAACAAGACGGCAAGATAAACGATGGGTTTTTCGTTCAGTACGACCTGGATTACTCGCAAATCAAGATACTATTCGACAAATATCGTTTGATCCTAGAAAGTGAATCATCAGTACCTGGGCAGTCAACGCCTCCCCTAAGGCGGCCTCTCTTCAGGCCCGGACCAGTCTATACCACGGTATCAACAATGAGTACAACGCAACATTTCCCAACGTTTTGAACCAACGGGCCTTTCTCTTTGACGATTCCTCTCTCCCATGGGTACAGAGCCCGTGGACAGCATCCCAGCCCTGGTCCAATCGCGCGAGAGACAAACCAACGAAGAACGTGCAGACCCCCAGCATTACCACCGCCAAACCTTTAAGGGCACCCGTGTCGTGGATGAATCTCGCGGCCAGCGCCCCCATACGATGGATCAGGCAGATTTGGAGGAGTTGCCATACAGAGGCGATGGCGATTTGCCGATCTAGGGCCGTTGTTGAGCCCTCATCGACGAGAGCGTTCTGACGAGGGCTTGCGTCAGCATTTGACGGTGAAGAACTTTCGGACTTTGCAGTGCTCTGCTCATTGGAAGTCGACGGTAGGCCTGGCTCCTCGTCCGCACGCTCCGTAGCCACCGCACTGGACGGCTGGGAGCGCGCCGAGGGAATTTTGGCAGGCAAATCTGAGGCTTTGGAGGAGTTGAATTGACTTAGCGTGGATGCCGATGTTGGGGCTTGCGAGAGATTCTTGATCAGCTCGTGTATCCCCGACTGACAGAGGACGCTGAAGAGCATGATCAGCAGAGGATAGTAGTATGCAATCCAGTATGCATCACTCTCTGAGCTTTTGATCACATGAGGGTGGACTGAGTTGTGCGCCATCCTTCTCCGACGACTGATTGAGTAGATCTGGACGAGATGATGTAGGCAGATGAATGAATGCGATGGTTGACTCAAACTATCCAAAGCGGATGGGCAGCAGGAAGAGACAGATGAGTGCCGCAAGCCCCACGTCGAGAACCTGACTAGTGCCAAGACTCTTGAGTCACATGACGGCTGAACAAAAGCGCTGGCAGCACGGATGGTACTTTTGTGACACAGGCTTGCACGGGCGAAGATCAATGCTCCCACTGGCCCAGCTGGACGAGATAGCATCTCTATCTTCGCGGCGAGAGCGCCAACTGGAACAAAGGAGCCAGGGGTGCCGACTGAGCCTCACTAGCCTAGCGTTGCTTTGGTGCAGGTGAGACCTCAGCCCACACCTAGCGAGGCCGGTTTTGTTTGGCGCGCTCCCATCGAATTGTCACTTCGACGGCCCAGGCTTGTGTGATCGATCAATAACAGCCCCTCAATATGATCCTGAGAGCATCGTGCTGCATTTTCATTGTCAGTTCCGACCAGGTTCATGATTTGGAGTTGGCCCCCGGTCAAAAGAGGTCAACCTCCATTGAAGGTCTCTTTAGCCCCGGCATTGGCGCCTGAACAGCTACGACTTCGGCTGGGGCAGACACCAAAAGCTCATGTGCGAACCCAGACCAGCCATCAACTATCAGTTCTGTTCCGAAGTATATGACGACTATGGCGACTACCATGGCGGATTCCTCTTGTATCTGCACACATTCCGGAACCAGCCATTCGAAGGGTTGGAATTAACTTCCCAGCAAGCGCGGAGAAGGCTTGTATTATGGGTCAACCAACGCACTACCTTGACGCTGCTGGCGTCCAAGGTATTTGATCGTTCTGACATACCGTTCTCGCCATGGGCCGACTTAAAGGTGACCACAGACCACAACCCCAAATTGACCTTGATGGCCGTCCAGACCTTTACGAAGCCAGCAATTCATCCCGAACAGTCACTCAGGATGTGGCTCAGTCAGCTGCAGTATTCCTATCTGCCTCGCCGGCGCTTGTTGTCGTCAACGAAGTCTCGCCACTGATATTTCTGTTCATAGAAAGGTGCTTTGATGGTGAACGAATCTTAGATGCTCTATAGCCGCTATTCGTTAGACTAGACCATCATCCCAATGCATCTACCCAGAACGCCAGAAGACTACAATGCCTCAATATGACTACTGAGACCAATATTTTACCTCAGAGTGCAAAGCAGATATATAAGGACGATATCGTCTACGGAAGTCATTCCTCCTCTTCCTACAGAATAATACGTTTGCATCAATACTTTCACAATCAAAACACAGGAGTACCCGAAGCTCTCTGCATCAAAACGTCAAAGGATCTCCAAAGACCTTCTTCTTGCTCCAACCCCTTCGATATGCTTCATCTACTTGTGCTTTGTTGTATGCTTCTTTCCACGACTGCTTTCAAGGTCACTTTCTACGGAAACGGAAACTGCGCAGGAGAGTATGTTGGGACTTGGGTCGGAGGTGAGGGTCAAGGATGCAGACAAGAATTTGTGTAAGTGCTCTCGCAGATGATGCCAAAGTCTTTACTTGGAAGGCAAACTCAACTCGTATAGGGGTGTGGCAGAAGGGGTAGTAGTTCAATCGACCGGTTCAGTCGACGACAGTACAACAGTTCAATTTTACAGCTCCAACAACTGCCAAGTCGGAACAGAAACAGCACAGGCTAACGCAGGCTGCTTGGACGTCGATAATGAGGTTATTCCCCCATATCAGTCATTCCGAGTCATTTCCAGCAAGCCATCGAGGCTACGAAGTGCGAAGCGAAGTCTTGGAGAACGTCGGCGCTATTACAATACTTCGTCGACTGTTCCCATGAATGTCCCGCAAGAACCAATCTTCTACCATGGCAGGACAGCAAGCTTCGACGGAGTTGAATATATATGGTGGCAAGTCCATGCTACTGGTTTCATGGGGATCCCTTCCGGTGACTGGGATGATAATGTACACGTGAGGAACGATACGGATTTAATTGACTGGCAAACGATCACCGATCTTACGATCCGAGACCTGGATGAGCGAGATCTTCTTCAAGGCTTATGTCAAACGTTCCAGACCTGTGTGTCACAGGCGCGGGCCCAGTTGGTTACCGTTGGCGACGTTGCCGGACCGTTCTTTACCTCACTTGGAGTTTCTTTGAAGAACAATCTAGCCGCGACCAACAACTGGCTCAACGGGAATCCTTTCGTTACCCAAGTTATTGCCGGTAAGTGAGCCCGGAGCATCACAAGTGCTCGTATTGGGATAGCAACTCATGCTTTCGTTCAGGTACAATTGCCGGTTTCGCATCCAACCAGCTCTCGGCCTACGTAGCTGGCAAACTCGCCGGCGACAGCCAAAACGTTGCACAGTGCTCAACCCTGAGTGACCAGATAGATGCCCTGAAATCCATTATTCTGTCTCAGAACTCTGTATACTCGGCATCATCAATGACGGTCACTACTCAACAAGCGGATGCTGGTGACGAGGTCTGGAGCCTCACCATGACCACTGTCAACTGCGGAGACGTACTACCAGCAACTACCTGCGGAGGTGTTCCCGCAGGTGTCTGTACGGCCTAACGAGTCAGCTAGATACTAATTTGAAGGCCGATTAGGTATCTAAAGATGCTGTTTTTGGAAAGCTCGAACATGAACCACTAGGGAATTGAAGTTTGTCTCGTGCCAGATTACGTCTTTTTGGAGATGCCCTGCCGGCGTTACTACGATGAGGGACTTGAAGTCATATCTCTGTTTCATCGCAGAGGATTAGGGGACATATTGTCCTTAGGGATGGCGTGTATGAGTAGGGACAGAGCGGGTGGTTCAAGGACTGAGGTTGGAAACTGGGTACCGTGGTGGACTAGCGAGCGGCGTTTCTTGCTTTGGGACCTGTCGATCTAGTGATCATTGTTGATTCTCCTGATATTGCTGTTCAGCAGAAGCAATAACAATTACGTCCTCATCGCCGGTCCACTCCTTCTGACGTTCTCAATTAGACACATAGTCAGAGGGCCATCTGTTAATTCAAGAGGTTTGCAGAGCTAATAAGAATATGATACTATATGAACTCAACAAGGTCGCTCCACAAGGCTTAGGGCTCATATTCCGGTTATTTGTGGCACGCCTGAGCACCAGATGGAATGTGATAACATTGTGCCCGCGTCGTGGGCTCAATGCTTTCATATAGATTCGACACGTCGAAGTAGCGTAATGAAAGAATGAGACGACAAAGCTCGGTTTTCTCATGACGAAGACTGTCGAATGTGGCGCGGTTCTTGAATACCAAGGGAACATGGAGAGCAGTCAGGAACTGAACTCTATGTATCACGTAACTTGGCGCGTTTTCTTGGCGGGTCAACTCCGAGGTTCATGCCACCTACGCAGATGTCGTGGGGTATGAGAGCTTTCTTGCGATCAACCATTGAATGCTCACTTGACTTCGACCACCCCCCCCCAAGGATTTCGAGACTGTGTTTCAGGGAGAAAATGTCGGCTATCAGTACTGACCAAGTCAAGAACGAGTTCGGATCACCCAATTTTGTAGTCCCCTCGTTTCAGAAGACGTTCTCAGGCCGCAAATACACTTTCTCTTTCCATGACCGCGACGGCCCCAGATTCTATGATCAATCTAATAACCTCACAGGTTTTGTCGCAGACCTCTCTCCTTACCTTCCGCTGTTAACCCCAAAGCTTACCAAAGCTGGGAAGGTTGCAAAGCGTCAGCCCGGCACCGAGAAGAAGCCGCTCAAATGGTGGAAGGCACAATGTGGGTTTCGCGGGTTACCTGTAGGAGGCACCGTGGACGCGCTTCAGGGGAGACTGAGAGAACATGGCAACAAAGGGATGAGCAAGGCCATGGCCGAGTTCCAGGACAAGTTGAGGGAAGAATATCTCGCTAAGAACATGGAGGAAATTGAAAAGAGATGGAATGACGGCGACAACAGTGAAAAGGCCAAAATCTGGCCGAGGCGGCTGTTGTACGAGTCCTTCTTCATGAAACCGGTGTTACCAATAAAGGAGGTTCTCGTCGTGATGGTTGACGGCTGGGGAAACAAGATTACAGAGGTGGCCTCGGCGTTGAAGATTCCATGTGAATGCACGAAGCTAGAGTCCTTCTCAACTGGCCAGCGTCTGGCGGTGATAGGGCGGGATGCACAGACCGTGCGGGCCAAACTGGCTGAACTTGTGAGAGACGACCAACGCGCCGGGAGTAGGGCGAGACAAGAGCAGAACAACGAGTTTGAGCGAAGATATACAAAGGCCAAAAGCATGAAAGCGAGCGGCGCGAAGGGCTTGAAAGAAAAATGGGATGTGACGGGCTCTTGGACTATTAGCTGCCCATATGTGGAACAAGAGTGGGGGCAGCAGGTGGATAGTGAATGTGGTCTGACAATCAACTTCACCAAGGCTACCAGCAATGGTCTGGTGCAAATGTTTGCCGAGTTTGACTTCCTCGTGATTGAGGGCATAATGCGGTTCGTCAATCCGCAGGTGCAAGATGGGGAAATGGAGGACCAAGACGACGAAGGTACTACTATAAGCAGCTCGACGACGGCGCAGTTCTTGCTTCCCGACACGTCGTTGCCCTCTTCACGTTCTCGCAACTTCAAATTCCGATGGCGTGGCGAAGACACTCACGAAGGCGTGATCCAGCTTACCTCCGATAAGAAGTTGTGCTCCATGACATTTGAGAGTCCGCATGCCCTAAACGGCATGTTTTATAGCGGTATTCTCGGATGGGTCGAGTTCAAGGGGGTCAAGACCCCAGCCGAGAGTGGGTCGACGAATGCCTATGCGGCAGATCCAGCGTATCAGTGGAGCTTGAGAAGCGAGGAAGCTTATGAAAGAGCTCGAGTTGGTAGATGGGGATGATGGGTCTGGTAAAGATATTGAGGTGGCGCAGACAGCCAAAGCACTACCCAGTAGTCTCTCCAAGGCCGTTGTGAGAGATCGAGTTCCAGGACGGTGGAAACGGTCCTCTCCCGCCTTCTGGCTGGAAGCCAGCTGGTGCCTAGTAGCCTGCGTGCGATAGCTGTGGCTCCTTGCACAGCCCTAAATAGAATCAGACGACGCCATTGCCCTCTCCGTTTATTTTTCCTGCTGGACCTGCTGAATCCACATGCGAACAGGTTGGTTTGACGCACCACCAACTAATCCGAAGGCTTTAGAATACTCCGGAAAATGTCTCCGAGACATCGATATTGTATCGAGTCCCCGTACAGATCGGCTGGTTTATGGTCCTAAGTTATCGTCAGCCGTCGCTAAGATACTATATATCTCTGAACCCTGCGTTGGTTCAACACCATCCTGGAATCATAAATACAAGATGCAGAAGTTCAAATGTTCAGCATTGTCGTTATTCATAGCACATAACCTTTCGCCTTACTGCGGCTCCCCCGTCCAGCAGAAACCTTCCTCAATTCTTCGAGCTGGGCCTTCAAAGCCGCCATGTCAGCTTGCGCCAGCCCCTTTTTCTCTGCGTTTCTACCGGTGTTTGGTCACCAGGTACCCTTTCAGAGTCTTCAACACATCGTTTAGGATCTTCAATTCGCACTCGACACGCTGCCGCTTTTCCGCATCAGCTTCCCTTTCCCCAGCTATCTTCTCAATTGTTTCCGCGTCCTCACTTATGATGAGTTCCGTGGTGAGGAGGGCTTTCGGGAGCTTTTGCAGAATTCCAGTCTCGACCACCAGGGAGTTGAAGTAGCCCACGAACGACAGCATGCTCATCTAATGGTTTGCCATGAATCAGTCATCACTCCCGAGAAAGTCGCCGCCGACGAACCGTGCCATGGATGCGAGAAAAGGAAGAGAAGCGCCCGGGGTAATCCTACCTCGTAATATGACTCCACACGCTCGATGACACGCGCGGTTGCCTCACCTGTATCTTGTCCTTGGCTGTGTCCAATGCTTGTCTCGTCCGTTTCTTTGCCTTTTCCATGCTCGTAGAACCCGAGAGCCTGAGTCACCTTGGAAACGAGCACATTTTCGAAGAGACCCTGTGCTGAGGGGACGCCAGTTAACAACGGCAGCAGGATCTTAATCCCTTCCTGGATAAACTTGTCCAACCTTTCCCGGTCGCCGCCCTCTTTCAAGTAGTCTTCACCAAAGTAGTCCTTTGTAAAATTGGCCAGCCGCATAGCGAGGTCCTGCGTTCTACTCTCCCCAGCTCTACGTCGAACTTCAACGAAGCTGTCATAGAAGCCCGTCTTACCCTGTCCATGGCACTCGAAGAGGGCGTGCATAGTACCATAAGACTGTTTGCGTAACTGGGCGAGCCGTGGCTCAATCAAGTGTTTTCGCAAGCCCTGAAGTACATCCTCATCAGCGCCGCTAGCACCTAGTGCCAGGTCAATGAACCTCTGTATAGTGTGCCAGACCGCGCGTAGGTGTTCTTTCGCAATCTTGCGCCATTTTTTCGACTGATACTCAAAGAGACCGGCGTACGCGACCTCGTTTGGCTCCCCAGCGGGTTGTATTCCACCCCAACGCTCAATTTCAATGCCTAACCACGCTTCGTACTCCTTTCTATTGACGGCCGTTGGTTTGGTATGTGCATAGTACTGGTGGATAACTTCTTGGGCAGGGAATGTTTGGGTTCCTTCATCCTGTCGAGAGGGTTCCGCGCTTTCGTTCGCCACGTCGTCTGTCGTGGAACTGGAATCACTCATGACCTTCGTCTTACCGAGCTCCCGCATGGCTGATCCAAAACATTTACTTAGCGATCGGACGCTGGCGCGAAGCCTCGAGTCCTGACTCTCCACGGAGTCGACACCGAACTGACCGAAGAAGCCTTTCCGGGCTTCCCAAACCTCGCCAATCTGGTGCAACTCCTCGCGATTCTCGTCCAAGTAAGTTCCGCGCGACGCCTCTCGAGTACGCTCTTCGAATGTCTTGGCTATTTCAAAAAGGTACTTTCGACGATCGGCATCGGTGGCTCTTGATCGACTGATATCGGAGAGACTGGCTTTAACTTTTTCGATCTTTTCCTGAACCTCAGAGACCAGGCTTGGAAACTCTTTTTGTGTGTGAGTCCAGAGCATATCCTTGAGGGTTTTTCTCAAAGCCCCGACACCTTTCTGTGTCTCTGGTACCTTCTCCCATTGCGGAAGGCGAAAGAACTCCTTTTCCCTTGAGTCTCTCTCCTCGAGTCGCCCAGAGATTCTCTCACCTTTATCCTGGTTCCTAACCACGTGCCATCCAACATTCAGCTTAATTTGGCTGTCGTGGCCACAGAGAACTCTCAGGACTTCATCAAGACTCTGGTCAGGGCGATCCGGGTTTGTGATAACACCAACCACTCGATCTCTCAATTTTGGGTCGTCTTTAAAAATCTCCTGAACTGCACCTAGTCCACCACTGCGGGCGAGTTCCGTTCGAGCGCTAACAACAAGTAGGATGACGTTCCTTTTTGACCCGATATACTTCTGAAGTATGCTTGTGACTGTCTGCTTGCTCCCCTCCGGTTGATTGTCGTTCTCTGCTTGGAACAGGCCCGGCAGGTCCACCAGGCTGAGGAGAGGCATGGTTGGTCCACATATGTCGACTCGAAAAACGTCGTCGGTAAAACCCTTGAAACTTTTTTGATTACCGCCTACTGGTAGCTGATCTCGAACTTCAGCAGAGGTGGTGCTAGGACCTACACCCAAGGCAGCGGCTACTTTCTCCATCCAGTCGCCCAACTCGTTCAGCTTGGACAAAGAACCGGTAAATTGGTATAGTCTCTTCTTGTCTTCATCTTGCCGGGAGAGTCCAGGCTCAATCGAAAGACGGGTGCTCTGATCGGTAGATTTTCTGAGGTTGAGCTTGATGGGGAACCTAGTGCAGACCCGTTCATGCACAGGAAATTGAAACCGAGTGATGGCTTCTAGGGTAGAGCTCTTGCCGCTGTTCTGGTCGCCCACCACAATCAACTGGGGAATTTCAATATCGCTGGCGACTCCGAGGTTCGATAGGCGGTCAATTGCATCGAATAGCGCTACCTGTTTTTCGTCAATCAGATCTCGAACTTCATCCATCTTGGATCGAGTTTGCCAATGTCACCGCCCGGCTGAGACGGCCTGGTAGCCCTGGACAGAATCCAGATGGTGGGTGTGCCTTGGAAGTTGAAGGCGAAGCAAGGTATGAGCTGATTGCCGGTTGACCTTGAGAGTCAGACTCGCGTTGATGGTGACATGAGCTGTTTCAGTCTTCCGGAGCAACATTTGGTCTATTTGTACTCGAGGGACAGGCATTCTGAATTCACGATCAACCAAGCAGCCGCCAAACAGATATCCTATTCGGGATACACGTTTTCCTTGCCCAGTCCTCGACCAACGATCTGAATGGCGGAGCGACTGACACATGGCAGCTGTTCATGCACGAAGCAAAGGGAAACTTAGGATCGACCAATGGCCGTGATTTCAACCCGACCGACATCCCCGAGACTAATGCACGAGGCAAGAGGAAACTTAGGATCAGCCGTTGCTCTTGCTTCTGTTCTCGATGATCGGTTGAGTCTGCCCAATGCGCGAGGCTGTATGTCTGGTCACTCAGCTACCGTCAATCCCCCTTCGCGCCCAGGCAGCATCACGCTATCCCGGGTGTCTTGTCGGCATTTCCACGGGATGAAATCTATTTCTCTCCTTCACTCACTCGCCTCTCGCTCTCTCTCACCAAAATCATCTCCATTAACGCACTGTCCTCAGCCAACCTCCCGCTATGTGTCCCGCTTAATCCCTCCCGCCATCGCCGTCATGGACTACTCGAATCCCTCTTCACATCAGTCCAATATGAATTATGTTGAACGGACTACTACCATGCTGCCTGCCTCGGGCCAAGCCATCAATCAGCCTAGCGCATTCGGCATCAATCACGACAAAACCAATACCACCTCTATTCAACATGGGTCCAGAGGAATGCCAAATCAGGAAGGAATGTATACTTTATTCGGTGGAGATGGAATGAGGGACCCTGGTATGGAGGATGAGAGCTACTATATGGTGGCGGCTTACTCTCAAGGTCCCAACCACAGCGCACCCGTTGGCTTCACCTACCCAGTTGGAAACCTTGACACTACCAACCAGGTCCCTGTCGACGGCTTCTTGTGTCAAGAAACTCCAGGTTGGTTAAGCAATGGGGTTGAACCAGCCTGTTTCGGCCTTTTGCAGGCATCAGGGTTTTGGCCCCGAAGTGTGGAGTTTGGTACAATCGACAACACTTTTGATCAAGGCAGCTTCAACAACCCCCTCATGTTCGACCAAGGTAGCACATTCAACCAAGAAACCTCAAACTCCTTTGATTCTCGATATGTCATCGGCGGTACCGCCACCATGGATGGTCTTGAAGACGCCTTCAATCTATGCAATGTTAATGACAAAACATTCCAGGCCTATCTTGCGGTCATCGATGATTTCGACTTGGCTATCTCGCAAAGTGGCTTTAGCAGTGGTGTCAATGAACATGCCTCCAGTGGCGCTCTTGCTATGAGCGATATTGAAATGATTTCCGCCAACCATACGCAGCACCAACCGCGGATTCCAGTTCAGTTTCGTCGTTATCCTCCTCGACGCAGGAGGAAGGATAACTCCGTCGAGAAACCACAACCAGTGGAGAGAGGCAATTGGGAGCGTTGGCGAAAAGCCCTCTACCATGCGTATGTGGAGGAAAACCGCACAATGAAGGAGGTAGTGTCTGAAATGTCCTCAATCCTTCACTTCAACAAAGCGTAAGTCCAAAATCATGATAGCATCCATCTCCACGCATTCCCTTCCGGCTTGGTCCGAGATGCATCTGACTGCGACCAACAGTGTAAGTACGTGCCGGAAGGTGATTAAAAAGTGGCCGGAATTTCGTAAAAACAAAATAGGCGAGCATGTTGCAAGGAATCCTCGTCGCCGATCGGCCGCAAGGCTACCGAAGCCACCGAAAACAACCAACCTCCTCTCTTTACCTAAGAGAGTATCGACGAAACCAAATGCCCAGCTTGTCCAAATACCATCGATCCTTGAAGAACCTTACAGTAATCAACGAAGAATGTTTAACAGCATCAACGTTTTTGCTCAGAGTCTTTTCGGCGCAAAAACCCGGCCTTGGAAATATAGTACCACCACATTCACCCCACCAACCGGAGTAACAGACAGTTCGGCCGCCTGGCAACTCGTGTTGGACACATGCTTGGGTATTGTGACAGTCTCCGAGGGACGGGTGGGCGGCAAGGTCCAGTTTTTGCTAAAGAATCTCTTTGTGGCATTGGACGCCGCCACGCAGTCGCGCGACCCAAATTTTCTGAGCCAGTTCTGGAGAATTTGTGTTTGTCTACTGAGAATTCGACCTCACAGCCGGGCGCACGCCAAACAATTCAGCTTCCTGCGTGTCTTCCTCCTGCGGCTAAAAGGCGGATTCTTGAAGTTCTGTGGGAACACGAAGGACCCCCTTGTAGAGTTCGTGGACTCACTTATCCGGGTCTTGGAATCTTCGCCCCGCGATCTTAAAGCAACACTAGGGCTAACCTGCTCAAAAGCTATTGAGACACTGGGTGATATGATCGGAAAGGAACATTTCATCGTGGTGAACATGACCTCGGATTGCCTCAGGCACTGGAACAGCATGTTTCGAGCCGATAAGAAATTGCCAGAGGAACCGCCAGAGGAATCGTTAGACTCGGAGATATCGCTAGAGGAGTTACTAGAGTCACGATACCAGTCTCTTTTGCGGAGCTGTGACCCTAACGAAGTCGATCTACAGATCACGCTCTTATACGAATACATAAATGCCATGTCAAAAGGAAAGTACGTCTCTGAAATTGTTGCCGGACACGCCGACCAGCTGCGGGGGCTCACAGTGGGTCGATGCCGCGCAGAAGCAGAACAGAACAATTTGCGGCACACCCTGACCACTCGAGCCTTTGCATTCTCCTCGGAACTGCTTGCGAAGTACCATCTCGAGACGTGGGAGAAAGGGAGACCGGGGCGCGGGCGCAGCCCTGATGATATTTCCGATCTTTTAGATGAAGCAATCGAGATATTGCGTCGGGGTGATATTGCATGTCAACTCCAAGCTGCCCACTGTTCGAGACGGCTGGCAGTGTGGTTTAAGACATTCTACCCAGGCGATAAACTCAGGAGTAAGAGCCACAGGGCTAAAGGAGCCAAGGCTCAAGCAGAGAAACGTCGGACGAGCGAAATAATGTCCTGTATTAAGAAAGAGCCATGTGTGATACCTAGAGAAGGCCTTCCCGTTGGAGCCAAGAGAGGCAGCCGGAACAACCGTTGGCGACGCAAACAAATAGCTGAACGAGATCTCTTTTTGTCGGCTCTATTGAAGGGCGGACAGAATGAGCCTGAGACGGACATTCGCTGAAGAGTTGGATTGATCTGTCTTGACCCAGGTCTGGCCACAAGGGGCTTCCGTACTGCGATAGTATCAGCCCCTCTTCGCTTGGTCATAACAGTTACTAATTACTAGTAATATAGTACTAGTATTCTTCCCCGGGATGGTCTCTGTCGCTCAGACATCATGCAACAGTGGAGTGAAATCTGTCCTCCGACGGTCAACGACGGAGCAGTCTGGAAACGGATTGAACAGCACAACTACTACGCTTGCGACTCTCGTCATCCACGGAGGTCACAGACAGAGTCGACAGCGCGGGTGCCACACTCCTGGGAGAGCACTTAGACGCGACGCACAACGTGTTAGTCCATTGAAGTTTTATAGAGTTGCCGAAGTTTGATACAGAGGCTCGGCAGGGGGGAAGGAAGCATACTAGTAGTACGTGATGTCATGAAGTGAGTTGAACTTGTTCCGGCAGTGCCGTAGTACTATCGAGCGCTGCAACGAGCGAAGCGCCGTTGAAGTCGTGTGCAACTGCAACCTCGCTGAAGATTTCCGGAATCGACAAGACCCTGTCGATGATAGTACACTCACCCCGGCGTTGGAGTCGTTGGAGTCGCCACTAAGGAAGGTGGTCACGTTGTCGTCCTCGTCGTAGTAACCCGCCACAAAATGGCCGCTCAAGACATTTGTGAGAGTATTTGAAATCAACAGGATAGTATGGGCGACGAAGTACTACTAAGTACTAGTACTAGTCCGAGACGTCATTGTATCCTCTGACTTTGAGTAGAGGGGGAGGTTGGTAAAGGTAGTAATCATCGCCGGCGGCTGAGGCTGCTTGTCCCTGAGTCAAGTTCAGCCACAGGGCAATGACCGTGTCGTTTGGGGTAAGGAGGATGAGGTTCGTCTTCCCGAAGATGGCGTCTAGGAATCCTGGGGCTTGAGAGGCCACTTGACCAATGGTGGAAGCTCCATCAGTCGTATTGAGAACTGTAACCAGACCTGGTGAGCTATGGGCCAGGACGACACCAGCGAGCGCTGTGAGGGCGGTCAGTTCTTTGGACACCATCGCGGCAAAGAGTGGACTGGTCGACAACAAATCGGTACTAGCTGTGAGATGGATGTTTGCCGTAACCTAGGACAAAAGGGAAAACGAAGCTTTTGGAGAGGAAGCAATTTGACCACTTACCGGAATATCAAAGAGCTATGATCAAGGTCCATACTATTCAGCCGTAGTTGGCCTAACGTCGACGGCACTAGGCTCTGGTGCATGGTACTGCCCGCCCACAAAAGCGTTTCATCCTATCTTTTAGACAGTGTCGATACTATAGTAGTATCGGAGAACTCTCTACCACTAACCATGTCGGGGACGTCTCGAAGAATTTTTCATTTACGTTACATCGATGAAAACTTGAATCTCGCGGCTTGAAGAGGTCTCAGAGACAGCTGAGAGACAGGCTCAAACCAGGCTGGAAACCTTCTAGATCCAGTATTGAACTCAGACTTATACTGTATGTATGTAGTAGTGCGATGTATGCGCTCCAAAACGCGCCACCGAAATCGCCCAAAACGGAAGGAGCAGCAGCCCGTCATATCACGTGACTCTCACACCGAGTCTGGATCACGTGATAAAACGAACGTGTGAAACTTCGCGAACTGGGGGTGACTGATCCTTGACGCGTCATAAGCCCAAGTTCGTTAATCGATTCAAATGGCAGGGAAGAAGCTACAATGAAACTGGAGCAGTGAAGCATGGCTATTACTGGATCAGTCCACCTTCCTTCCTAATCACAGCCTCATACTCCGCTACAAGATCTTCAATATGAGATTCTTCCGTGCGCTTGCCCATCCACGGCCAACACAGGCCCAATTCCTCAGAAGTCCGCTCCGCAGCTTCAACACCACCCGCAAACACGCGCAGTTCCGGCATACCTCGAGCACAAGCTCTCCTCAACCGGATCGACCGGTCAATTTCTACAGCACCCATGGACGTGCATTTTTCAAAGCTATCACTTTGGCATTCCTCACATATCAGATTGCGTACTGGGCGTGGTTGACGCTGGAGACGGAGTACCTCAAAGACGAGAAGAACCGCGAGATCAAGTCGCTTGAGCAAGAAGTGAGGTTGCTGGACGAAGGTCGAAAGGCTCATAGACCTGGCACAACCTGAGGACATATGGGGAGAAAGAGTCAAATTTGTGCAGCAGGACAGAGAATACTGCCACCATCAACTAGTTCCATGCTGTGGTCACTTGGAAAACATGAGCAGGCCCTTCTCCAAATTGACGCCACCGTGTCAACACTCAGTCGCCTTTTAGGACGCGGAGGCAGAAATGTACTGGTGGAGCTCCAGGGATTTCTCTGAATCGGGCGGAGAGGACGATCCAGATGGATAAGAGGACGTTGTGTCACCACAAGATCAGGGTCGCAAAGCTTTTACAGTTCATCGGCGAGGACTTATTAAACCTTGGAGAGATATAAATGTTGGTCTTTTCTGTCCAGACTCACGACACAGAGACTTAGTCTGCTCCGAATCTTCATCTGCTATCCTTCCGCGGCTACTATATATTCCTCCCGCGAGCATCAGAAGATGGAAAATTGGTCGCTTGGACCTCACCCTGCGTCTTTGTCACTTCTTCCGTCTCTCTCGTGGTTCGAATTTTTGTCCTCCAGCTTAACAACAATATCCACAATAGCCCTCAGAATCCCATGATGCATTTCACCCCTCCCCTTCTTCTCCTGTTGGCAGGCGCCGGCTCCATTGCCCACCCGATCAGTGCGAATAGCGCCTATGCAGCCATGAACGGCAGCATTATTACTCGGCCAAAAGATGTCCGTATGATTAATACAGGCGTGTTTCCCGGTATCAACGATGATATGTCTGGGGTCTGGCCAAAGTTGGCTAGATATGAGATCAAAGCAAATCAATAATAACAAGACTTGAAGAGTCGTGTCTCGGCGCACAATCAATGACCTACGATGTCTGGCTAGGCCGATTATCTCCAGCATGCCATCAAGGATATGAAAGCCTCGTATCCCGCAGCCACCACAAAGAGAAAGGGGGCCCATTTCGACGACGTCCAGCGGGGAGGAAACTGAACATGACAGTGAAGATGATTACAGTCGCAGCCTCTTTAACAACGCTTCGGTTACGCCCAATCAGGCAAACTGGGAAGACAGATCTCCAACAAATCCATAGTAAAGAGGGAGGCAGGCTAAACAGCCTAAGGGTTGCTGACAAACGGCTCCTCATCAGCTTCTAGTACTCTTCAACCCGATACAAGAATTATACAAGTCCTCTCACTCCACACCACAAAAATAAAACCACCACAAGTGATCGTCGAATACCTGGACCTTTTTTGAATGCTGAGATTGTTAGTTGGAAGAAGAGGTCTGCGAGGCTCAAGAAACACTGAGACAGTTGAGAAGTATCCTGAGGAGAGCAAGCAGTCTTTGGAAGAAGAAATGTCCGACGACGTCAGATGGAAAGACCATAGCTCTTTCCGTCTACGGACTGCATAAGAATGCATAGGAGCTCAGTGTCAGTCTTGTTGCACGCCAATTACCTCCAGATACCTCGCGGTGTGGTAGTGCCCACCTTCAATCGCCGCGTTGACGAGTGACTTGAGGGATCCTCCAACCAAAAGGACGTTGGTCGACAGGGTCAGCTCTCTGCTCAATCAGGAGTTTTACCATTCCCAAGTTGCCGTTGAAGACTGCCCGACCCAGGACAGTGTAATATGCATTCTCGTCTCCTGCCCTGGCGTGAATATCCACGCCGTTGTCCAGCAGGAGCTTAAGCCCTTCGACATATCGAGCAGGGCCTCCAAGGGGATGTCGCTTGTTGTTGCAGACGATCTCAAGGATGGGTGTCTGCGTTGTCCACTCGTTGAAATTGACGTTTGCCCCTGCGCCGATGAGGACTTTCATCGTCTCTATGTGAGCGAAACAAGATGCAACATTGAGTGCAGATCGATTTTGCCAATGGGGAGAGTGGACGTCTGAGCCTCGACATGTCTTTTGACGATCCGTGCCAGATTCTGCTGGGCTGCCAGCCCAAGCACGGTTCCGTTCTCATTTGTTCGGATTCGAAAGTCGGCATTGAACTGCGGTAGCTTGTTTAGGATGGGATATGCTGGGCTCTCGAGACGATAGCTTGCGCTGACAAGCACATGGAGAGGAGCGTAGCCATCACTGTCTCGACAAATGTTTGGTCGAGCAACAGACTCCAATAGCAGGGTAGTAATCTGGAGAGACTTGCTCCCCTCGTCTGCGTAATGCAGTGCGGTTGAACCGTCTTCTGCTCTTTCATATACAGAATCTCCTGCAGCAAGGGCTTGCTGAACACCAAATATGTCATTAAGCCTGGCAGCCTAATGCAGGGGGATTGTTGCTCGCGGCGTTCTGTTCTCGGGAGGATCAGCGTAGTCTTCCAATTCCTTTTTGGTCTGCGATATATGCGTATCGTTGCCCTCAAGTTGGACTAATTGGAGCCGACTCTCAAGATGGCTTTTCTTCAAATTTGGTATGTTGAATCTTGTCTTCGCTGCCGCAGATGTTTCGAGGAACATCACAGGGATTCGTTCCTGGGAGCACTTTTTCTCCTTGTTGCTGCAAATACGATCGCAGACACTGATTCAGATGTGTGACATACCCTAGCGAATCTTCCATGGTATCCAATTGAAGTTTCTGGAGCTCCTGAAGGTCATGGAAATCCGGATTCTTTATTTCGTTCTCTACCTCGAACAGGGCCCACGACGACTCGGCCTGTACTTGCAGGTCTGACACCTCACGGGCCTCTTCGAGGACCGTCCTGTAGACTTTGGAGACAGGAATCTCCTCATCAGCTCCTTTATACATTTTGACTTCTAGGTTTGCAAGTTTCGTCTCGAAATAAGGTCACCATTGACCTCTGCAATCTCACTGCTTTGCAGGCACTTTTGGAAGGAATTGGCCAACGAAGCCTAAGCTTGAGCCTTTGATATAGCTTGCAATTTGTCTGAAATGTCAGTGTGATCGACAAGATACCGAGTGCAGGTATTGACTGTGGAAAGGCTGGAGATTATAGCCGACTCCGGCAGGTCCTTGTACTCATCCACGTTTCCCGTGAATTCCTCACATAGTTTCAACCCATTATCTGGTGAGAGCACTGTTAGCAGCATGCGCATGATCTTTCGTGCCTCCCACAAGCGCCCCTGTTCGGCCAGTGTTTTAGCCCAACTGTGGAATCCGGACCAAACTGGTGTCGAAGACGCAGCCCACGGAGGTTGAGTGTCCTCAGGACGAACCCACGAGGAAGCCTATGAAGCGAACGCCACGTTCCGAAGATAAATCTCAAGTAAATGAATCTAATCATGTCATTGAATAGTCAAGATCATTCCTTCCTTTCCCGGTCTTATATCTACCTCACTGGGATCCGCCGGCTCAACCCTGGGTAGTCTTCACCAGGCAATTCTAGCTTCTTCCAAAGCTTCATTGAGATCGCCGTGTATGTGCATCTTTGCGAGAGCCTTCAAAATCTGAAAGAGAAGGACCTCGTTCTCTGTGAAGACGTAGACTTTCTGCTTCATCTTTTGCGTGACTTCGTCAAGAAGATCATCAAGTTGTCGGTACGAGCCCTGCTCAAGAAGTCGGGTCGTTCAGCCGCAATCGGGAAATACATGCTTTGGGACCATAACAAAGCTTCAAACCATTCTGTTCCTCTCTTGAAGTTCCCAAGGCTGCTGAGTCGCACAAATATATCAACCTCTTCGGGCAAATTCTCTTCTATGTCTTCGGCAATCGTAACCCTTATATCTGACATGGTGCCTTGGTAGTGCCCTCCCGGAGACGAAATCTGCAAATATTGTCAAAGGAAGAGCGAGGTGGGAAGAAAAGATAAGGGCTGTCCTTGTAGCAATTAGAACAGCCCTCACCTACACGTACCTACATTCATCAACACGAACAGGGTTCTTGGCCATCTCAGCCGCCATCCGAACAGAACGATCTAGGTCCTGGAGTTGGTCGCCACTTCTCGTATTGAGGAATGACACAGCTCACTAGTCTCGGTTGCGACTCTCCATGTTTTCAGCCCAGGGGGGTAAGAAGAAACCGAAGCCAAAGTTCCAGCCCTTTGTGAGTTTCTGAGCATTTCAAGCCTTCCGCATTCTGCACATGATTTGACAACTTTCCACTTGATGTGACCAAAAAATGTCTGCCAAATAACAACAAAAAACTCGAGACCAGCCTAAATATCAGTACACCTGTTATATTGACGCCTGCAATAAGCTCGACGACGTGAACATCAGCAACAAAAAGGCTGGAAAAGCTGAGGTCGAATGCGGATTCTTCGCCTCGGAGTCTAAATGGGGCACGGTCAACAGTGAACATGTCGGCATCATCTACCTTGACCTCGCCTTCTTGCAACCCTTCGGAGTATCTTCTCGAACATGCAAAAGTTCAGATGACGTCCAAAGCCAAGGATGCAGCGGATACAAGCCCGACAGTGGTAAAATACGATGCGCCCAAGGAGTTGCGGGGACCAAAGAGAGAACAGAACTCAAGTCCTCCAGGAGGAGCTGAAGTTGGGTGCCGCCGAGCTTGAAGTAGAAAGTGGATGGAAGAACAAGTCTCTGGTTTCTTGTGAGTGGCGTACTGGGTCTGATCAAGACCCTGCTGGCCGTTGCGCAAGTGAGGCACCATAGAATGCTGATACCAGCTCCAGGTCCTTCGAAGCCAGAGAATACCATCGAGGAGGTTCCAGCGCCTCCTATTGTCGCCCAGATCTCGGGCTAGGAGACACGCCCACAAGACAAGAAGTCTCCAGGCAGTCAGCCAAATTCACTATCAGTTGCGAAGCAGTCAGAGACATTGAAGGTCCTCATAGAAATGATGTTGCGACTGACTCAATTGGTACAGTGGTTGTGGGGCATGATAGAAGCACTTGTTCGACTCCTTAGATCAACCCCAAGCAGCGAGCCTTTCCCAGGAACAGACATGTCGGTGACAAAGCAGGCAGCCACTCTCACAAGTTCACCCAGTCCTGTCGGTAAGGGAACCTCGTGCGGAACAACTCACAAGTGCTCCACAGCAATCGGACCCTCCGGATCCAGCACACTGAAGATGCTTTAAACCCTTCGTGGGAAATATGTGGTCGGCGGCTTGCATCTAAATGCAACGAGGTGATCTTATTTGTCCCACTAATAAGACTACGTTTCGAGATGAGAAATCCAGTGCTTGGACAGGGAGGTTCATTCGGCGGGGTCAATGGGCATTGCGCGAACCTCGCATATTGCGCGCTTGAGGGGTGAAATTGGTAGATTCAGTCAGAATTCAAGTGGTCCATCATGTACAAAATACAATGAATCACACATTTTGGTGTCAGAGAGGTAGCTCCGACCGTGTCAACCCATTTGATATTGTTGAATTCAACTTGAGTCAGGAGGTAATTGATTGATTGAAAGAGACAAAGGAATCTCTCTGCGTGACAGAAGAGACTTTACATATTACCCAGTAGGTGAACAAGAGATCCCCTATCTAGCCTAATTGGGCTAGTACTGCACTTCTTCAGACCCACCCTCCGTTTCTCAGGTTTCAAATTTCATGTGGAGGTATCGACTAGGGGCCACAGGTCTCGGTGTCAGGGCCTCCATGTTCAGCTTATCAACCTTTTCACGATCCGATACCCTGGTGAACAAATGTCGGGCGTACCAACAATTTCCCGTCCCAAGGGGCGCAAACACCCCGATCCTTCTGTCTCATCATGGCATCTGTCATGCTGGGTTCAATCGCAATGTCGTAGAGCTGGTATAGCCGAACGAGCGTCAGATGGAGCCCGATATCTGCCAAATGTTTCCCGATACAGTTCCTTGGTCCGTAGCTAAACGGCCTAGACATATTCCTCATCTCAGGCGTTGCTTTCAACCATCGTTCTGGGATGTATTCATTGGGGCTGGGAAAGACATTGGGATCGCGGGCGGTCGCGTAGGCTGGAGTTGCAACTTGAATACCCCGGGGAATGTAGTGCTCGCCGATAACTTTACCGGGCGAGACGCGTGGAAAGCCAGCGCTGAGGGGACCCCAGATTCTAAGTGTCTCCTGAATACATGCGTCCAAGTATTCCTAGAAATGGAAGTAGAACGTATATTAGCTTAGGGGAGTTATAAGTTCCAGCATGGAGTTGATCCCTTACCAGTTTAGATGTCTCTTCGTATGTTGGTTCATGCTTAGGGTCAGGGAAATTTATACGGATCTCATCCACCAGTTTTTTTCTCACGTCTGCCCTCCTGCCAATTTCCCAGACTGTGTACATTGTGGTCACTGCCGTGGTGTCACTCCCTGCAACCAAGAATAGGATGGTATTTTCGACCAATTCTGGGAATGTGAGCTTGCTACCGGTCTCGGGGTCGACTGCATCGACTAGGTTCCTCAGGAAGGTGCCTCGGGCGTAGCTGTCCCCATTCTTTTCGATCTTAGCGTAGAAGTCGGTGACTGACTCCTCGGCAAACTTAATCAGCCGATCCAAGCCCCTATAGCCGTCCTGTATCGCTTTGATGGGGACATAGCGTAGTTGAGGAAAGAAAGCTTGCGTAGGTACAACAACCATGAAGGAGTCCAGGTCATCGTGGTTCAAGGTCCCTTTGCCAGAGACACAGTCGAAAGACTTTCCGAAACTCAAATATGTCGTTATATCCAGATAGTGATCCATTAGTTTCGAAAAGATATCCACTGGTTCTTTCTTCGCGGCAGCAGGAGCGAAGACAATGTCCAGGAGGGTTTTCACTTTTTGATGAATCATCGGCTCGTCTTGAAGAAGCCCCTTCAACGAAAACGCGTGAGATACCAAGCGTCTCAAACGAGCATGCGCCGCCTTGTCCCTCTCATTTAGGATACTGACCGCTCCAGTAGCGCTGAACATATCGTAGAAGACCTTTTCCTTGGGGCATGGATTAGAGGACTGGCCATAGATGTCCTGCCATGACTTCATATCCGAGAAGTAGAGCTCGTTTGTCCCGACTCGAACTGGACTGCCATACTTCTGAAGCATTCGGTGCTGCCATCGAACTCGATCCATTCTAAACATTGCCAGCATTGGATATATTGATGTGAATTTGGCAAGGAATGGTCCAGGATATTTTGCCAAGGGATGAAAAAAGATGTTGTAAACAATCTTTGCGACCATGTACAACAACGGTAGGGTCCATAAGGCTGTAGACCAGGGGAGGGTGTGCAATTGAATCATAGTTATTGGGACTGCCATCACGAGGCACAAAAGAATGAAGAGATGTCGCTCGCGGCGGTCGGACTTGGGACTTTTATGCCCATTGGGGGGGAGGCATTGTAAATGCTAGGGTTGACGCACTTCTAGTAGAATGGCCAGGCGCAACCTCTCGGAACGAGGTGTGAGGATAGGATCAAACGCGGATATTTGGAGACACCGATGAAATCTGGAGAAGGCATGCAAGGTTAGGTCCACGCTCTGCTGGAAGCCGATCGCCCATTCGGAACAAACTGAATGATTTTTTCGGTCCGGAAGAAACTTTAGGGCACGGAGCATAGGTTTGCATCATTTCCTTGGTGACACATGGTAGCAATAGTCAAGATGTCCAGGTTAGCGTCTTCAGTTATTGTAGGAGCTCCCGCGGCTGCTGAGTTAGTAGCAAAATAACTCGAGGTAGTACTGACGAGTTACCGGTGTGGGACTTTTGTCTCGTCAGACTCCTTCAGTGTGTGACCGTCAATTTCTCGGTCACCATATTGCTCTCAATGCAGTTCTTTCTTCAGTATAAAGAGCTAGAGCTGTTCTTCCACTTCCCTAAGCCGATTCTGTTGGTAAAATTCTAAAGAGGCAGTTTCCTTGCCCGCCTTTTTGCGTTCAGCACTCTCCATCGCCCTTCCGCCAAAAGCACATGTGCTACCTTCATTAGAAAGAGATACTGATAGGGACGACATTGGCATCTAGCAGTATGCATGTACCCATAACCGTCACTAGACAAGCCATCAAGCTTTCATGATAAAGCCGCTCCTTGAACCGACCAGCGACTTCCTGAAGACAATCGACCAGATGAGGGAGGTTCTTACGCCTGAACTGTACTGGCTGTCGACGGGATTGCACTTCCGGAGACAGCCCATGCCCAACCACTTTGATTGCCAATCCTGTGATAACCTTAGTAGTCGCAACGGATTTAAATGCCCTTCCAGAGGACCCAAACTTGGAGCAAGAGGCCAGCCTTTCGCGAGGAACGGTCGTCAATACGATTTATGAGACTCTGCCTTGGATGAAAAGTGTCAAGGATTCCAAGAATATGGACCTGGCATGTAACTTTCCCCTCCAGCGCCAGGCTGCCAGATTCCCCACATTTCCAGATTAAGGTCGTCGTGCAGATTCAAATCGAGCCACTAGGATACAGAAAATTAGCTATCAAAGATCATCGTATTGAATTTCATGGCGATCTCACTTCTTTGCCAACTCCAGTTTCGTCAAGTGCTGACTCGCACAACGGCTCTAGACTTGGAAGTACAGTGCTAGCTGTCGATGAGTTCTCTTGGGGATGCATGGGGTGATCAGGACCTCCACTGAAACTCTCGACTGCGTTTCTGGCGAGGGTCGTGGTGTCTTTAACAAGCGGTACTGACCACTGAGAATCTGTGACATACTCCAGGCGAGCAAAATATCCGCTTGCAACTTCCATCAGGTGGAGATCCGACCGAGCCGAAGCGAGAGAAGGATCGTACAGGATATTGATGAAAATATTGACGACAGCATACAAAGGAGTGTAATAGGCAACCCTAGAGGCGAGTCAGTGAATCGACTCCCGTTGGACTCGGTGAATAGTCACTCACGGCATAGGACAACTTGCATCAACGTGGATAAACCTGCAATCGAGTATGGCAGCCCTGGATGTTTCCGCCACGATCGAGCAGGACTCGGCAATTTGGCCTTGAAAGTCTGGATGCCGGTCCAGTCCAGTCACACCGCGAAACCAAGGGTGAGCCAACGTTGTATGGATATCCCACGCTAGATTGTGATGAAGGAATTGTATCGATAGAGCCTGCTGCATATTGAGGCCGGCTGGCGGCTTCGTCAGGTTCATTGGGAGGTCGATCTGGCACTGATCCCGCAAGCTAACTCGGAGTTCCTCGAGCTGCTTTTGAAGCATTCCAACGTTATTGACTAACTCCTCTGGCGCCAGCCGCCATGCAGCAGCCTTAAAGAGCATTTTCCGCATCACGGAGGAAAGGTGGTTGATTTTAATGCATGCTTGCATATACCTCACGTTGACAGAGCCGTCAGACCGGTCGGAGGTTGGGAGTTGACAGTTGATTTCTTCGTCATCTATTATCTATAAAAGTGAGCTTCTTATCTAAAACGTAAACGGTACCGCTCGTAGTCAACGAACCGATGGACGGCCTGAGCGGCAGGCGATCTGTTTGTCGAGACAGTAGATAGCCCAGAAAATGCATTGCCGCAGAGATTTCTCTTCCTCTGGGAGGTTCCAGGATGGCGCCGGCTGCACGTGCAGTCCTTGCCCACATGCAAGTCGATACGCATTAGCGACGAGAATGTATTGTAACATTCGACATGAAACAGCCTCTGCAAAATATGCCTATATCATGTCAGCTCTACCCAAAAATAGTGCCGAGGGGCCAGAGTTACCATAAGTGTCAAAGCCTGCACACCCATAACTGAGGTCCGAAAACAAAGGAGCTCCGCGTGCACGGAGAGCGCATTCTTGAAGTACAGCCACGACTCTCGCTGAGCCTCGGAATACGTACCACCTCTGGATAGAACCACTCGGCACCCAGAAGCAAAGATGATATTTCGCATTGCATACCAAGATGCGTCATCGTCAGACTTTAACCCGTTGTAGAACGAGCGGAGTTTCGACTCGAAGCACGAGCGCCGTACAATCCCAAGAGCTGCCTCAGGGGCTTCTTCGAAATAAGCGCTAGTGAATCTGAGTGCATCTTTCAAGTCAGGATCCTCTTTTCGCTCCTTCGACGGTCTTTTCTCAAGCTTCAGTCGGCGTGCGACGTCTTGGGTAAATCGATTGGCGATAGGTCGAAAATCAGGCTGTTTCACTCTTTCTGTGACCCATGCTATACCCGCCAATGAGCAGATGGACATGCTCGTTCTGGGACCCCAGAATTCAATGTCTTCCTTGAAGGTGTGATAGCCACCTGTGTCCTGGGGGCTGTCAACAGTGATTGATTGATTTGGACTCTCAAAACGCTCCCAGGGCGCCTCACTGGAGCCAAGCTGCGATGGAGGTTTAGTTACGGGAGGCGGCAAGCCACTCCTTCTCGAATTCTCTCGATCAAGTCGCGAAAAGCCAAGGGATTCACCGGCAGCTCTATAATATTGTCTTGCCTCGATTGCAGGTTGATGCTTCTGTCGAGTGACTTGTGAAAGGCGACGCTGTCGTTGATCTGAGGCACAGTTTAATTGCGCAAGTTGATGCGCGCCGTCCTCTTGCTGCAAATGTGATGCCTTCGTGCTGAGAACGTCTGAAAGCCGGTTGTTATCATTGCTAGAGGCCCTTGCTGCTTCAAGCAGGTCCTGGAAATGATCAAGTGGGTATGCAACCGCACTATCAGGCAAGCCATCTCGTTTCCTCTTCCGGCGAGGCTGGCGTGGGGCGAAAATGCATTCTGCACCATGCTCAATACAGTTGCTGCATGGATTGTCGCCAACACATCGAATTTTCTTCGCTCTGCAAAAATCGCAGGCACGAACGCGTTTGGGCTTAACAGGTCCCATGCGCATGTCGTTCTGTTGCGTGCCCATGGTTGTGCACAAAAGTTATGGGCAGTACTTGGAATAGTTCAAGCTGCTTCGAGTCCCAGAATTCGCGGTGTACTGTGCCAGCTGCAGTACTTGTTCCAACTTTCCAAAAATTTATCCCTAGCCACCCTTTCTAGGACCTCATGGTACGCAGTGGCAACACTCTGGACTGGGGTGGCCGGCTAATGAATGAGCCCCAACCAAGTTCAAGAACAGCTGGTAGAGCTTCAAGGACGAGCCTTTGAAGCATGAGCCCTTACTCGTGGATCCGAGGAGCAAGCTGAGAGGAATCTGGGGGAGCAGTCTGGGGAATAAGCTGGGGAGTACTTCTGGGGTCCCGGCCAAAAAGCGAGCTGGTTAGCTTGCTAAGCCCATTCTGTCTAGCCAAGCGGACTACTTAGTGCAGGCCAAAGGGTGGGCTCCGGTGGGTGCTCTTGCCGTCTGCCGGGTTTAGGGTTTTTTGGTGCGGAGTACCCATTACTCCGTAATTGGTTATTATTTACTTCTTTCGTGGCTTAACCCATGCAGTGGTCGACTATTTGGCCCATGTGGGCTCTAGACCCTGGCCCAGCAGGGCTCAAGAGTCCCGTGACTGACAATCGTGCCGCCGGACCACAACAAATCGGATCTTTAGATATCTTGGCCTTGCCGAAGCTCCGGCCGAAGCTCCGGCCTCCGGAGGTTGGGCTGCGGAGGGGTGCGCAAGGAGCGCTACCTCCCAAAACCGTGGCATGGGTGAGGAGAATGGCTCTTCAGATTGCGAACTACACGCTGTGGAAGATTCCATTTAACCACTATGCTCTTCCGTTAAGTCAGCCTTTTCCAGCTCTCTGGAAAGCTTGATCTGGAGTCCAACCCACTGGGGGTGCACTCTGGGGTAACAGGCATCGAGGTTTACAATTGCTAGGAAGTGCATGGAATGTGTGCTCCCGCATACGATGCTGCGTTGATGTTGCCTTTCCGGCGGGATCGGAATGAGGCAATGCTGCCTGCATAACACATCAATCAGAGGTTACTTGCAAATACTCTGATTACCCGTCGTGCCAACACCTCTTTTCAAAGGGGGGTGCTTCGTAACGCCCATACGGTTGACTCAAGCAAGATGTGGCATCCAAGAAAAGAATGGGCGGTACCTCACCAAAGTGTTGGCCTGCATCAACCGCCAAGTGGCTTCTCGTTGGGCACATGGGTATTCTTGGCCATCGTCCTTGGTTTGCTATTTCGGGCCCTGTATTTACATTTCTCGTCACCACTCTCGAAAGTGCCTGGTCCATTCATTGCAACCTTCAGCAGATGGTGGCTTGCCTACCACGGCTGGCGAGGTGACTTCCATCAGCTCTTAACACGCCTGCATGAGCAGTATGGAGACATTGTGCGAATTGGACCTGATGAAGTCATCACAATTTCTCCAGATGCAGTCAAGAAGATCTATGGTGAGGCTTTACTTGCCGATGTTGAAACAAAATTGGATTGATATTCATCTTTCCAGGTGCTGGGTCTCAGTTTCGCAAGAGCGAATGGTACCGCCCTCAACAAGGGGAGCGAAAATTTGACCTATTTGCAGAGAGAGATATACTCACCCATCGCAATCACCGGCGGCTGGTGAACAATGCTTATGCCACCACTTCATTGCTGGAGTTAGAGCCTTACATGGATAGCGCCATCACATATTTCATGGACACTCTGCATCACCGCCAAGAAGAATGTATGGATCTGGGACTTTGGCTACAACTGTTCGCCTTCGGTATATTCGTCGGTGGAAGGTTTGAGAAATTGCACAAAGCTGACGAAGCTAGATGTCATTGGCGAAGTAACCTTCTCACAACGCTTTGGCTTGATGGACGCCGGGAAGGAATCGGTAGCTCTCGGGCAGATCAAAAAGGTGCTGAGATCGACTTCGTGGGTTGGTCAAGTTCCATACGTCTACAAAATTCACCAGCTTTTACTCCCGATCATCGGAAATCATCTGGCGCTTACAGCACGCAATGGGAGTCTGCGCGAGTTCGCTGTCCGTCAAGTTCAGTCTAGGGTCCTGCGCGGAAGTGACCACCAAGACATGCTGGGCCGGTTTGTGGAAATCAACAAGGCCAAGCCGATTGACTTCGATGAGGCTGCTCTCATTTCAATGACTGCCAGCAATATCGCCGCAGGTAGTGACACCACAGCCATCTCTCTTCGTTCGATGATCTACTACCTGCTCAAGAACCCCAATTGCCTGAAGAAACTTGTCGAGGAGATCGACAAAGCAACAGAAAGAATGCCTCCCCATTCAGTTGTAACATACGAGCAGGCGAGCTCGATGCCGTATCTCCAAGCTGTCATGAACGAGGCGATGCGGATTCATTCTATCGTTGGCCACAACATGCAGCGAATCGTTCCCAAGGAAGGGATTCAGATTGGGGAACATTACATCCCTGCCGGCGTAAGTCATGACCGACTTCAACTTTGCCTTTTGTTCACAGCTCCAGGTCATAATAGGGACAAGTCCCTATGTGCTAGGTCGATCCGAAGGCATTTACGGCCCTGATGCAAAGAGATTTCGTCCGGAGAGGTGGCTCGAAGACGGACAGAAATATGATCTGTGTAAGTACAGTGTTCTTGTGGCGCTCGTCCGACGTTACTGACGACTTCTCACACAGGGTCGGGCTACCTTGCATTCGGAGGCGCCTCAAGGCTGTGCATCGGCAAAAGTAAGTCACCCGATGGGCTCGCGGCAAGGTTGAAATGACTAATTGAGTTGTCTCACAGATATCAGCTGGATGGAAATGTCCAAGGTAGGCACGCTAATTAGGCGAACCTTTGTTGACAGACCAATGCTCATCCGAGACTAGGTACTTGCAACTCTACTGCGGAATTTTGTGGTAGAATTTGCCGATGCCAATACAGAGTGGGAAGAGGTTTGCTAGTAAGTGACAGTGGCAAGTCGAAGCTGAAGGCCAGGGATCTAATACGGCGTATAGTGTATTCGTCCACCAGACAGGGCTCAATGTAAGACTGCGGGCTAGAGAGCTTGCCAAGTGAAATATTGTTTCAATATCAACTCGACTTGAGGAGTGTCACCATTGTCCTATGGAAGCAGCGGCTTGGCTTTATATATGGTCACAGGACCATCGAGGAGCTGCTCAAGATTGATAGAGATCTAGGATGTCCGTAAAAAGTGATATCAAAAGCCCGGTGACAATCTTGTGTTCAAATCCCCTGAGTGGGATTAGGGGCTATCGCTTTAGCTGACAAGAGCTCGATTTTAATTCATGCCACTGTTATTGGCACTCAAATCCTGGCACTAGTCGTGGCCGTCTCGAAGTTTTCAGGTGGGAGGTTTTACCGTGGCCTGCATTGGGACGGACAGCCTGGACAGCCATAGGGCAAGCAATTTATTCGGGATCCTCCAGCTGGCAATCGCTGGGCCCAGCATCGATGCCCGTCCTACCAAATTTTCATCAGATAATGTTTTCCCATGGCCTATCAGCATTATACCAGTTATCCTTGCTGATAACACAGGGCTATTGTAGCAACGTGATTTCACTCTTGACTTGTCCATTGTGCCGAAACAGGCTACTCAGATATTGGGAGCGGTATTCAGCCTCCTCCCACTTGTTTTAACCTGAAAACTCGTTCATGAATGTCAGCAGGATATCATTGTCGAAAGAATTTTTGCCATTCCAGAAAGCCACCTGATCCAATTCCGAAACCGCGAAGGCTTGGTTGTTCGAGACCTGATGCTGCAAAATAGCACCACTTGTCAGGCCGTCATCGGGGAGAAGACTGTGCCATCCGGAAAAGTCCTGAGAAAGACAACCCTCCCGTGGGGGTTGCGGAGAGATGGTCACAGGTTGAGAACCTTCTGAAGATGAGCTAGAAGGAGCTTTTGTCGCTCCAGTAGTTTGATTATCGCTTGCCAATAGCGAAAATCCGAGACATTGCAACAGGCTGGTGATTTTCTTCGATAGTCGCTGGGACGAGCGCGAGAGAGAGTACGACCGTAGCAGTTCTAGCCCATTGTTTATTCCAAATTGGGCCGTCCTGACCGTTTCTGGGAGGTCGTCGTGACTGGCAACCATTCCATGACCGGGCAAACTGTGTACGTATATCAGGAGTAGCGTAGACAGCGCGGATGACAGAAAGAGATTGAAGAGGGGCTGTTGCTTTGCGTACAAGCCGCATGTTTTATCCGCTGTGACAATCATTTCAATGTTGTCATTTGCGAACTGAGTCATGTGCATCACTTGTTGGATATTCTGTTGAAATGTTTGCGTTGAAAACAATAGCGGCCGCATAAGAACAATCTTGAACTGATTCGCGCGCAGGTATAAGATGAATCGTAGGAGCTGAGTCCCTCGGTCAGGCGGTTTCACAGGGTCGTTCCGGTCAACAAGGGGCTGATGTCGGAGGATACGTAGTTCTTTAGGCAAGCTTTCCTCCCAGCGTTGTACTTGAAAATCGATAAACTCGAAATCTTCTTTGCTGATCGTACATTTCAGTTGGCCACGCTCATCTGTCATAGCATTCCAGGCACGGGGCCCCATCCTCATGTAAGCGGTCATTGCTTTCAAATAGGCAGGCATTTTTTCCTTCGATGGCATTGTCAGTAAATATCTTGGCTGGGAAAATGCAAGGGAACATACCATTTCAGGAATTTCAATGTCGGAATCATTCAGACCAAAAGGAAGACCGGCGTTGAAGTTTAATTGACGATCGAGATACATGCAAGTCCACAGCACAACAAGCACTCGCGCGTTTTCAGTATCGCTAGCAAGGTGGTTTCGGCGTACATTTTTCAAATGCAGCCCAGCTTCAACCATTATACGAGATGCAATGACAACATAACGTGAAGCAAGACGAGAGTCATCTTGAAATATGTGATAAAACGCCTTGCCGGGTCAGCCTCGAACCCTTGAAGGACAACTTTGGCCCACTCACAGTGAGAAGGAGGAGAATTTGACCTCCCAGGGTGAATGTTTTGGCCAGGATATGATTGGTAATGACTGGGATCAGGTCATCGTGAATTTTTCTCGCCACTGGGTTGAAACCTCCGCTTTCAGCAAGTAACGAAATAGCCACCACCATCTTCAGGTGGGCGATATCGACATCCGCAGATAAAAAAGAAGAAGGAGAGCAAGACGAAGAGGCGATACGATCCGCAGCATAGTCTACACCCTGAAAAAGTGAAGTGGCTAGCTGCTGCAATGACTTGCTGTCCACGACTGGATGCAAAATTTCGATGGACTCGTGGTAAAGCTGGATCAATCGGAGTGCATCCTGCAATTGTAACCCGTACAACGGTGACGGTGTTTCATTAAGAGGCAAATTGCAGGAATTTTCTCCCTCTTCATCAGAATTAACCGATCCGGTCAACTCTGCATGGAGCCATGGCCTCCCATTGCTTGCGCCCCTTTCTTGCTGAAGGATGATGCCTGCCACACCAAAGCTGAAGTCTGCACTGGTAGGACCTGCAAAAGCTGGCGACGGTGCATGAGTGGTGTTCTGGACGTCATGCTCGATCAGATTGCCATGATTCTGGGTTGTCTTCTCGCTTCTCGACTCGTGCTGTTGGCGTTCTAGAATGGCAATCTTTGTCTGAAGCCGAGAAACAATATCGGTCAGCTCGGCCAACCCACTGGCCAGAACATTAGCGAGAGCAGTCAGTTGCCATGCTAGGGTTGTTACACTTGGTTTGGAGTCCCTGACACCGGACTTTCTGGGGTTGCACTTGATTGCCCGTTGATGCTGCCCCGAGCCTCACTGTGGACTTTGCTGTATCGGCAATTGGATGACCGCCGCTGACAGGGTACACACGGCAATTGACCGTCACAACGAATCTTACGGGCTTTGCAGAACACGCATGCCTGCTCCACGTATACCGCCCTCTTCCGGGCGGCTGGGTCTTTGGCACGCGAGCGTCTGGGCGGAGGAAACTGTCCGACTCTGCCTTCGGAATGTCCTATCGCCTCATGTAATCGTTCTGTATCTGCACCGAGCATTGTCAGCCGGGAGTCAATTATCTGTAGGTGCTGCGGTTTGGGCCAGAGGAATGAACCAGGAATAAGAATGTCACTTCCGGGCCCTCGGTTAACAATGAATACCCGTGACCCCAACTTAGCCGGAAGTCGTGTTGCTCGGCGCCTTGGAGTTTGCAAACTCAGAAGCACAGACCCATCCCACAAACATCCAATGAGCGACTGGAACCATCTTGATCGAAAAGCTTGACGGAATGCCCCATCGGAACGAGTCACTACGCCATTGATGTGGATGATGGTGTTGGGGCGGACGCTTCCAGTATGCGTGACATCCCCAGAGCTATTTGCAGAATAGGTTGCCGTCCTAAAAGGCCGCGGCGGCCCGGACAGGTCGGGGTTGCAAGCTAGGAAAGTCGCGCAAATAGTTCGAAGCCACAGAAAAGCAGTGTGATACCCATTCCAGGAGCATCTACCAACAAATATCGAATTCCCATGGAAACTCAGAACCAAGAGACCCTTGTAAGAATCCTCGACTTCACTTATTGACCGGGAATACTCAGGGTCCACTGAAACAGGATCGCTATCGGCTCCAAGTCGTCGTTGTGGGAGCTGGAATCGGTGGTCTCGCGTGTGCAATTGCTTGTCGAAGAGCAAATCCACCGCTGGCCGTCACTGTTGTTGAGCGAGCTCCTGAGATCCTTACAATCGGCGCAGGAATCCATATTCCTCCAAACGCCTGCAGAATTGTCACGCATCTCGGCTTATTAGAAGAGTTGAAACAGGCGAAGGCGTATTCTGTTGAAGGGTTTACTTTAAGAAGATACAAAGATGGGAGTGTCATTGTCGAAAAACCGATGGGGGAAAGAATGGAACGAGAATATGGAGCAAAATGGCTGTACGTATCCCTTTACATAATTTCAATTCGAGGCTGCAGATACTGACAGGGAGCAGAGCTATTCATCGAGGAGACTACCAGAACGCCTTGTTAGATGCTGCTCGAAAAAACGGCGCAACAATCCTCACCAATGCGGAAGTGACTGGCATCGAACAAGGCACTGGAGAAGCTCTAGGTAAGCAGATTGTTCTATTGAAGGACGGAAACCGGATGATAGCAGATGTTGTGGTCGGCGCCGATGGTAAGTAGTGGCAGTTGCGGCTCCGGAAGTCTGATTTTGATGCGCCCTGCAGGTCTCTGGTCAGGAATTCGAGAGTTTGTCTTGGGCCGCCCCATGCCGCCTGTTGAAACTGGTGATCTCGCATATCGAGGAACCTTCAGTCGAGAACAACTGAAAGGTTTCAAGGATGAGAGGATTGACAAACTTATCGAAGCATCAAATGTCCAAGTTTGGCTGGGTTCGGGGAGGCATGCGGTGTTTTATCCACTAAGAAACAAGACAGAGTACAACCTGGTGTTGATGTGAGTTATGCGTTTCTTAGATCAAAACGACGAAACTCACCAATGCCAAGTTGTGCGGACAATCTCCCTGAAGGCGTTCGGGCGTCGCAAGGAAGTCTTGAAGAAATGGCAGCCAACTTCGAAGGCTGGGATCCAAGGTAATGGCCTCTCCCTCGCACTTTTTTGTTCCCATGGGGACTGACTTTCTAGCTTGAGCACCATCATTTCATGCTTGAAATCTGCGTTGAAATGGAAGCTTCTTCATTTCAAAGAGCTCGATCAGTGGACAAAGGTGTGTTTCCAAAAGCCCGTGTGGAAGCCACTATAGCTTACCTTATACAAGGGCCCGGTCGCTTTGCTCGGCGACGCTTCCCA